TCTGTGTCCTTCCCTCGAGGTAGAGCTGTGTGTGCAAAAGGCCACCGTCGTAGGGGATCCGAGCTCAAATTGGCCCCCGCCTCTGAAGTTTGCAGTCGAGGCGAGGGTGACAGGTCGTGAACTCACACTTTAACAGGCAGATCAGATGAGCAGATTACTATCCCCCCCCGAGTTCTGTCACAATGTGTGAGGGAGTGAACACCACCACCGGAAGGTCCATCTGGACATTTGTATAATAAAGGGAGGAAAGTGCTCATCAAATCAGGCTTATTTATGGATGGAGCATGAGAGGAATGACAAAGCTTTGGGATATACAGATGCATACTGGAGTATCTGTGTATGGATTCCTGAGCCAGCTATGTGTATGTGAATGCACATCTGGGCTTTGCACAATGGCATGTTGTTTTAATTAGCCTGCTACACTCTGGTTGATTTTTCCTCAGTGTAACATACCCATCAGCATCAAACAAGCACAGATATCCCCCACAGCTCTTGGTTCCCTTGGCTAACTTAAGAGTTTAACATCAATCACATCACTTCCCCCCCCCCCCCCTAACGTGTCAACGCTGTGGGGAGTGCAGCTATTGTCAAAGAGATGTACCTTTCAGGCAATTATCTCTCTGTGTCCTCCCTCCTCCATCCTTACACAAGGATTTCGACTATTAGGTCAAAAACATCCTGAGACTGAATAATCCTCCCTCTTGGCACGTTGTCTCATACAATTCATGTGTAAGTGAAGCCATAATTACAGCTGCAATAGGTAATAGACTTTCTTCAGGCAAATATGTTGCCTATTTAAAGAAAATAGGAGAGAAGTGTGACCTTTTTTATATGACTTTCGACTTGTTTTTTTGGCTTTCATGTATTGTCGGTCCTACATTTACGCCTCTTTGATGATCCAATAGATTACCAGAAGAAACTAATGTAAGCAGCGTTACTCTCCAAAACAATCCCACTGGGAACAATCAGGAAAACCTTGGCAGTAATATGTAGGAAGGGAGTTGGAGGCCTGTTTGAATTGATATGACGGGAGAATACCATATACAACACAAGGGGTTTTAGCCTTACACATGAAAACATATGTTGCTGTAATGTGTACTATGAATCAAGTGGTATCATCTAACAAGATCTACTTAGCTGCAGGCTGTGTCTCGTAATATTGAGCTTTAGCCATAACATAACTTCACAGCAATCATTTAGGACCTCACTCCTGAGTCTATAACTGACATTACAAATATGCTCCAAGAAAAATTCCAAGATGAAATAAAGTCTTCCGCAGTGCACTAAGAGTGAAGGAAATAATCCTTCCTTTAGTGTCTCTTTTAGAAGGAAGACCACAAGGTTCATTTTGATGTTGTGCTAAGAAGGGAGAAATATTTCAATGATTTCATGATTTTTATCGTTTCTGCCTCCTGGGATCTGATACTGAGCCAAGAACAGAGTGCAGGTGCCTGATGACTCTCCTTGAATGGAAATGGAATTAATGGAAAGCAGGTGGGTACTTCAAAGGCTCACTGCTCCAGCGGTATGGCCAAATGTGGCTCTCAACCGCCAACATCAGCTGTTGTCTCTTCCGTGTTGAAGTGGAAGTTAGCATTGTGAATGGAAATAATTAGTTCACATTAGAGACAGTGCAGAGGAACGCAGCTGAAAGACGAGATATGATGTGTTCCTCTGGTGTCAGGAGTTATTTGCGGGGTCAAACTACAGACTTGGGTTTGTGGTCTTTTGTATCTATTTTTTTAATCATATTTATAATGGTATAAGTCAGTGAACTATATGTTGGTTTTACTCTTGCACTGTCTGCTTTACTGCACTAATAAACTCCTTTTACTGGAGCCATGTTTGAATAATGTTACTTAACTTAACACTTGCATGAACAAGTGAATGCTCCTAAACAACTAAGGCACATCACCTTGTGTTTGGATTTAATAAGATTTTTTAAAAACCCGAACATGACCCAAAGAGTATTTGCATAATAGCTGGAAATGTTCCTCAGAAAACGCAGCCGCAGCAATCTTTTAATGTTTCTCCAGCAGATTACAGATGGGAAGGAAAGCTGTAGGACAACAAAACGCTGAACGTGTCAAATTTCAAACCGTCCTCAGGAAGTGGTTTATCATTACATTACATGTTACTTGTTAGACGCCTTTATCCAAAGCGACTTACATACTCAATACTGTGGGCAATCCCCACAGGAGCAATTTGGGGTGAAGTGTCTTGCCCAGGGACACAACGACATGCTGACTGCAGTGGGGTTTGAACCTGTGCTCCCACTGCGCCACACGCCTCCGTATCATCATGTCTGACATTGAATACACAAACACGGCCATTACAGAAGTCTCCATTATTAACAATATATTTGCTGGAACGTAGTTTAATTGTTCTCCACACTGAACACACATGCAGGATGTATTTAGTTTGTACAGGATATATAATATTCTGTTCTAGGGAAACCAACTTAAATCCTGCAGTTGTTTCTGTATGATCTTCATCTAGCTTTTATTACAAGACAATTCCCTTTTGGAATGAGGAGGGATCAAATAAGCTATATAAATATATATTGCAAAATGCAACTCTTGCAACATCTGACAGCTGCAAAGTTTAAGATGTTTTTCTATAAAAAAAAAAAGCGTTTTCTCAGTAATTATGATATCTTGTCTCTTTATTTGATTTTGTGTTGTCTGCTGTCAACATTACCATGAAGTCTGCATTGCGCAAAACCAGTTTCCAGAGAGAACAGGCATCTCTTTTGACAGATTACAGTTATATCTTCCCTTATTAAAAGCATTTTTAACATCTGTTAAAAAAAAACGTGTCAGTTTGATAACAAGATTGTGTTTGGTCCTAGTTTTCAGGCAACACTGATATCATTTTTCTTCATCTTGTTGCAAACATATTATCTCAGTTTATACTTGTATTCAATTTCTGTCCAAAATATTGAATCCAAAAAGATTCTACATTTGAAAACCCAGATAAGTTGGTTTTAACATCATACAGGAGAACTTCTATCTGTACCTTCATTGACTCAGAAGATGAATGTAGTTCTAAGAATATAAGAGCATCCCTATCTTTGATTTTGCAGCTAAAGGTTGCTCTCAGCAGGATACCTACTCCCTGGGCTTTCCTTCTGTGCTGCATAGTCACTCAGATCAATGCGTTCTTTCACCAAACTTCACAGAGTACAAGGTGTTTCCAGCAGAAAGGAGACACACACAGCAGTCTCACAAAAACAACCAACCTTGCCTCACAACTTAGACTAATCTCTATGGAATGTTTCAGCAAAAGTATTTCAAGGCATTTTGAGGCTCTCTGTTGGTCTGCCTCTTTAAAACAGCAATTTCTACCCTTTGGAAGGAAAGCCCCTGGGATCAATCTGTAATTAAGAGAGAAAACCTCAAGCTTAATACAGCGGGGAAGAAAAAAAAGGTTTTAAGGGATGTAAAACAAATCCAAGAGTACGGGGTGATAAACAAGACTGATCCGAAACACAGGAAGAATAATGCTTTTAAAAGCACTGAACAAAGTAGGACACTGTCCTTCCTCAAGGAATTTCTCCATTTTGTGTCACATTCAAGGAAAGTCCCCTCATAAGGTATCACTGCAACATGTTAAAAACTACCTGGAAATATGTACTTCAAAGCCCTGTCTCTTTGAAATTGTACATATGGTGGTGTACCCATGGTGATGAGGGCTACTTGTGTTTTTACAATGTGAGGTAAAAATGATCCTTAATCATGAATGTGTCAGTCTATTATAAATGTGTCCACAAATGAGTCATTCCATTCAGACGAAACAGGTCACAACATATGTAGACCCATATGAGATATTCATACATAGTAATGGTGTCATGTTCATTTTCGATACACTCTCATGGCCAGCCATTTTCCCTGAAGACTTCTCACTGCATTCCATTGTGCAGGGATGATCATGATGTAGCTTCTCTTGTGGAATTTGCCTGTTTGTTGGAGTGGGCGCAAATTGAAATCAGCATGTGTGCATCAGGTTGTTTCTCTGGATCCTGTTTCAGAGAGGCAATGTGAATGTTGAGTGCTACAGCAATGGAGGAATGTTGTTCTTTCTTTGGTCTGTCGCACATCGCGGCCATTGCCCATGCCAAGGAAAATACCTTGCAAACTGCTGACTTTGATAACAGTGGGAAATCTGATTCTGTCTGCATGCACTCACTCTATCGAGGCAGGCAGTAAGCAAGCTGTTTTGAATCCCCAATGAATGTGTTTTTCTAATGACTTTCCTCTCAGAACATTTGAGTAAATGAGGGTCTCCGATTGCAGCAATGCTTTGATTCACACACAAAAGCACAGTTGTTTGCAGTGTTGTTTGCAGGTATGCTTGTCTTTTGTGCATTCAGTATACAACAATCAGCAATGGGAATGACGGGTGGAGAGAGGTGGTGGGGATGTAATTGACTTCAATGTGATATTCCATAAATAAGTATAAACACAAAACATGTCCATTATAACTGCTCATGTGTTGCAAACGTCACATTACTGTACAGTAATATCGATTTATAAAATGTGTAACAGTAGGATGAAGTCTAAAATATCTTGTTTTATATTGTTGGAAACTGCATTACTTTGGTTCTGTGACATAATGCCTCTGTTCCCAACTGCACTTGGGTATTATACTTTTTAAAGGTTTTAATGCAATGAATAAACATAACAAGACTTTGAAACACCTGTTAAAATATAGGTAATGTTGTAACTACATATGTGCATACTGTACATAATGAGAAGAGAAAGCAAAGCCCTTGTGAGGCAAAGTGAGATGTGTTACATGTCTGAATGCCTTTGCAGGCGGTAATGTTGACTCTGGAAGCTTCATGGAGCCCTGGCTGCTGCAGGCCAGGAAACATCACTAGCACTAGGGCCATGTGGGACCTCTCCTTAAAAAAGTTTCAGATTTTTTTTCTCCACAACCCATTGTAAGCAATCAGGCAAATAGAAGCTTGCAGTGCACAGTCACTTCTTTCCAGGAGGCAGAGAGCAATGCTCAGTCTACTGACAGGAGAGCCAGCAGACCGACAAGAAGTCAGGACATATTCTCATAGCAGAAACAGACGGTAACACCAGCAGTGGGTTTTCTGAAGCCCACTTTTGCTCTCCTGGGTGTGAGTGCTCCTGAATGCACATTCAAACTATTCTACTGCTGCCACCAAAGATCTGCAGATGCACTCAAATCCAAGCTTACTATTCAACCCTGCCTCTGTCTCAAGACTCCCACAAAAGCTGTACCCGCGGGAAGAGGATACACATGTTTTATTGACAGAGCGACAGGTGGTTTGAGTTTGAGCTGTTGGGTTTTTTCCTGTGTGGTAAGCTGAGGCGTCTTTAGAGCCAGTATGTTGCCTATTGTTGTGGCATGTTTGGTATTCTTCCTGTTGGGCTCGGGTCAGGCTCAGGTTGCCACACAGACTCAGGGGGAGAGCCAGAGTCGTGGCCAGGGGCAGGACAGCTCTGCCAACCCTTGGAGGCAGGTGATTCAGTGGGAGAACAATGGACGACTGTTTAGCCTGCTGAACAGTGGAGCTGAATACGTACCTGCAGGGGCCCAGGAAAGAGGTCCCAGGGTGGTTGTGGCAGACACTCAGCCACGCTCTTCACGTAGACCTCAGGGAGGCAATGTCCGCCGACAAGCTCCATCAAGAGGGTCCTCTGAGACTGTCCGTGGCCAGGCAAGGCATCCTTTTGGCTTTGGACAGGTTCCTGATAACTGGAGACAAACTGCAGGCAGCACAGGGGGCGGCCAGTTCCAAGGATCCACTGGCACTCGCCTCAGGCCATCCACAGGCTCTTCATCGTCATCATCATCAACCTTTTCTTCATCTTTTATACCATCCTACCCACAAAACCCATTTCCTCAACAACCTCCTTTCCAACCAGTACCTTATGATCCTAGTTTTGTAGAAGGGCCAGTCAGGAGCTACGAGCCACCTTTTCAGCCTGTTGCCGGTGGAGGATTTGGTGGGGGAGGATTTGGTGGGGGAGGATATGGTGGGGGAGGAAATGTCGGTGGAGCATATGGTACTGGACCGGGGTACACTCAAGGAGGGTATGGTACTGGACCCGGGTACACTGGAGGAGGGTATGGTACTGGACCCGGGTACACTGGAGGAGGGTATGGTGGTGGTCAGCCCCAAGTGTTCCCAGGCTCTCCTTCTGATGTTTCTGAAGATGGCTACCGCTACTACCAGCCTTATGGCTATGGGCCAAATCCTGTGGTGCCTGCACGTGCAGCCCAACCTGCCCGTGCAGCCCAACCTGCCCGTGCAGCCCAACCTGCCCGTGCAGCCCAACCTGCCCAACCATCGTTTGCAGATGGTCTGGACCACAGATACTCCCACAGTATCTTCAATGCGGAGACTGGTCAGGCTGTACCTGCTGTTCCTGCTGTCCCTGCCCCTGAATTCAACCAGGCAGTTCCTGTGATAGTGGACAGGACAGGAGCAGCTGGTCAACCACAAATCAGGAGCCCTCAGTATGAGCAGTTTCCTCCATTTGGAAGATCCCAGCCTCCTGTGGCGCAGCCCATTCCTCAAGCCAGAAGTTCTCCAAACTCCGGCATCGAGAACCCCAATGTAAATGTCGGGAGTGTGTACCGGCCAGAACAGAGAGGTATGGTAAGCTTTACTGTATGGTTTGGGTTTTGTGAACTAACACAATGTATCCATTACTTCAAATGTTGAAGATATCAGTAGAAGCTGTGAAATATGGATGGCAGATTTCGAATCATGTGTTTGAAGAAAAGTCGGCACCTGAAATATTTCACATTTTCAGTGGAAAGAGGAGACACATGTTCACTGATCACTTTTTGATCAGATTTATGTCTGATGCTGAGAGATGAATCTAAAATGTGTAAAGAGTAACCCTAACCCCAACTGAGGGGAATAAAAAGTTTACATTTCCTTTAAGCACATAGTCATGTTTTTTCCAGTATTCTTCTTACATTTGATCAGATATCTCCAGCAAACAGAATGAAACGGCTGCTTACAATTCAGCCTGTTCTTCAGTTTACAAACGCACCAAATTGGACACAAGGTTCATCTTTTCCCACTTGTATAGTTATTGAAACCAGGTGTTGAGCGAAGCCCTGCCCGTGTACAAAGAGCACACACAAGAACCACTGTGTTTTTCTCTGGGGAGTTCTGTGCTACACAAAAGTTGACTAGTTCATGCCGTGTGCGGATTTGGGTAATGGTGGTGGTGACCTCATTGGGGGTCTGGTGACAGGGGGTGTTGGTGGGCCCTTGCTGCGTCCTGGGCTTGAGGACACCAGAGGGAAAACTAGGGAGGGGGATACAGTACTTCACCACTCCCTGAGGGGGAGGGGGAACATGGAAAGTCCCTGTAATGGGGTCCATTGCTTCATCAAAATCCAAGAAATACTTAGTCAGAATTATTAGGGCAAGTATGAGTGACGATAGTGCTTTGGCTTATAAAGCATATATTTACTTAAACGTTTAAGGTACTATGGAGTAGGAAGCTCATTGTTAATGCTGAGAAAAGAATGCAAACATGAGAAGTTTTTCTATGTTCTGACTGCCAGAAGTTATGTATGTTCTGAGCTGAGAGAAAATAAGTACCTCCAAAAGACTTCTCTGACTCTTAATAATGAAGATTTACTTTACTTTAAATTATACTACTCAATATTTTTGCATTACTGTGCGGCAGTTTCTATCAGCAACTATAACGCTTGGAGCCATTTCTACAGTACAGAAAGCATGTGTGCAGATGCCATAGTGAGACAGTAATCATTGTGATAAATATTCAGCTATTGATAGCTGTTGAATAGTTCACATTTATATTGCACTGCTTTATGGCTTTATACTGCTTTATGCTTTAAGTCATTTTGGCTTTTATAGTTTAATCATGACTACTGTGATCTACACGTTTAAAATTCACCTAAAGCTATAAAGTAACTACACAGGCATATATATTAACCATATTTATTCATTTATTTTAAAACCTTTTTAAAGCCACCATTGTGTTGTAAGGAAGTAAAGTACATATGAAACACTATATGTGTCAGACATTGTCGATCATTTCCTCCCCTTCATTCCTTATCGGGCAAACTGATGAAGGATTTTCTTCAACAATGAGTTCAATTTGAGAGTCTATTGAAAGGGATGAATCCGATCAATTCACAAGGGTATTTTACTGAGGGTTGGTAGTACTCTAGTCCAGTCGCTGCTGGAGGGACCTTACACTGTGCAGCCTTGGTAAATGTATGTACACCTTGAGTGTAGTTTCTGAATGCAGTAATCTTGCTGTTTTTGTATTGAGACATGTATGATGGTAAATATGGGACGAAAAGGTTTGCATATTGTCAAGACCAATTGCCCTTTCATCCCACACTCCCATGCTCTCATATTCCCTGAAAAAGCCACACACAGTCATAGGTGAGAGTGATTAGACGTAGGATTAGTTCATTCAGCTGTATTACAAAATACTACCAGGCAAAAGTGGCTGTGATATACTCTATATTTAATTATTGAACGCTGTTGTGATTTTCCTTTTTCAAATGACCTCAATGAACATGAAGTATTCTAATCTATCAGTCTCCTGCAGCTAACCGCCAATAGCTTAAAGCAGGAGTGTCTGGAGAGGGAGCCCTCATGTCTTTTATTATGCTTTATTAGATGGTATAAAAAGCACCGCAAGATTCAGTTTCCTTTCTCCTTGCCCCACTTAGAGTGTAATGTGTGGCTTTGTCACATGCTGTCGAGAGCTGATCAGCTTTGGCTTCTCAATACACTTTATCCCTCTGAAAGAGACCCAATTTTCACATTTCAAAAGATTAGGAGGCAGAGAACAAAGCCTTCCTAGGGTGAGGAGAAAAAAACGAGGTTGTGAGTGCTCTCAGAAAACCTCTGCGTTATGCGCTGGACTTACAGGGTTTACATAGTCTACCCCAGGAAGCTTCCCCCTCTCTTTGACTTCTGCCTTAGAGAGAGCTGTCATATAGGATGTTTTACACAATGCCCACATAGGCAAAGCTTTGCAGCTGGGGAGGTAGGCAACTTCCTATCTGGTTGCCATAAACAGACTGTTTCTAAAGCCTTTCGTGTTAATCCAAAATAAGAAAAACTGCAATATTTCATCATTTCATATTGCTTTATTTGTAGGATTGAATTATCACTTCTAGACTTAGAGGTCAGATGTTTGACTTTAACAAGCTCAAATTAAAGTGTGTCTGGCCTGTGAACTTAACAAAGAGGGGTGATAAGCAATTGCCAGAGACCCTTGCTGGCTTGGCCTTTAGTGGGAAAGGGAGAGAAAGACATTCACTGTGACAAGTCAGGCCTGGCGTTTTTACTTGTTCCTCAGGTTTGTGACAGACCTGGTCAGTGGTGCACTTTACAAAACAGCAGTGTTTTGAAATCCCTGTTGTTTTTGCCCTGGCACGTACGTTCTCCCTTTCTGGCTCTCTGTCTGGCTCTCTAGCTGTATCTCTTCATCTCTGTCACAAGTGACAGACTTGCAAAATCCAAAGTCTGAAAAACACAGACTGCATTGCAACAACCTCTCTTGTGATACTGTAGATCAGATATTTCCAAGTTTAGCTTTTTTCCCCAAAAGATATGTGGAATCCTAGTCATCTTACATACATCCTAGTCATCTTAAATACATCCTAGTCATTCTTTATTTTACGGTTACAATGAAGTGACATGTTTGCATAAAGATCAGTGCACAACTGCACATGGAAGAACAAATCATTAGAAAAACAATTGTTGGTATACAAGTTGTTCCTTTTTGCAACTCTTATGCTCTCTCATCCGTGTCTGGCAGGCCTATTAAGCAAAAGTGTTATTAGAAAACCGTGATCATAATCTGAAAGGATCCGTTATTAGTGGCCTAAGGCTCTCTTTATAGTGCCCCACTCTTGATCTGGTGGCCATGTGACACGCTATCCCCCAATAAGTATCACCATAAAGACTCCATTAATAAAAAGATGATGACAAATATGTGAAAGAGTTCCTCTAGTTCTGGGCTTTGCACTGGCAATGACAGGAATGGCTGCAATGAAAAGAGGTGCTTTATCAGATCATTGGATCACTAAAGTAAATCTTAACAATGCTTTATTTGTTTGAGTCTAAAACGGTCTAATCCAATAAGTAATCACTCTTTTATTTTCACCATTTGAAGCAGGTTTGTTTGATTTCTACGAAAATGACTTGTGCTTTTTGGAGTAAGTTTGAGTGTAAGGCAATATATGGTGAGCATTGTGTCTTTCATTACAGGTTTGCCTGACCTTGTTCCTGATCCAAACTATGTCCAGGCTTCCACATATATCCAGAGAGCCCACATGTATTCTCTCCGCTGTGCTGCTGAAGAAAAATGTCTTTCAAGGTAAACACAATTCTGTATGTCCTTTGCTGGCCTGTGTTTATTTATTCATACATGTATTTAGTTTCTTAATGGGTTCAATCTAATGTCACGGTATCACAAATATTTGTGTCCCTTTGGGTTCTGTTTTCATGTTAAAGTTCTAATGTCATAAATGTTGTTATTGAATGTGCTAATAATGGTTTGTGGCTCAGTGGGAAGCACACATACAGATATCCAATTGGGGTATATTGAACAACACAATGTAGCCCCCTGTGTCCTGTCCATATTTAACCCTGCTTTAGACCATGCATTTACAGAAAATTGTTTTTATGAAAGACTAACATCATTTATAAGCTGTTTTACCTTTGGGTAGCATTACCCAGCAAGTGAACCATCCACAATTGCAACGTAGCCACAAGAATATACAGTTAAAAAATGTACCAACTGCACAACATTAGAACTGAATCCTGGTCACCTTTGGGGAAACAGACTGTTGTTACTTTCATTTCTCTGTGTTGGTGGATCCATCCCCTGAGCCTCAAACCCAGGCCCTTTGCACTAAAGACACTATTGAAATGATGAAAGTGTGCTGTCCCCATGGCTGCTCTATTTGCCCTCTTCCCATCACAAGCACAGCCATCGCTCAAAGCCCTTTCATATCCTGTCTGAGTTTGCAGCAATCACCGACAGATGGGCTGTTGTAATTTGCCATACACTCCAATGTCAACAACAGCCGCAAGATGAATGGCTTAGATCTTCAGTGGTATTGTGAACTCGAGGTTGTTCCTCCTTTTTCACAGTAAAAGTGAATTGTGCTACAGAATCTCCTCATGTTGAATCAGTGTATTTGGAGAGATGGTTGTAATCTGTACAGTAGAATACATGATTAAGTAGATATGCTTCTGCTTTCAATCCTGTCCAGTCTCACTCCTGTTTTCTTTCCTTGTCTTAGTAATGAGAAACAGGCATGACGACATTCTTTTTTAAGCAACTTGTGCGGTTTCCCTCACTGATTTGGTCCTGATGTATGTGTCCGTTATCCAGCTCCGCCTATGGGCCTGAGGTCACCGACTACGATGTAAGGGTCCTGCTGCGATTCCCACAGAGGGTGAAGAACAAGGGGACTGCCGACTTCATGCCTAACAGGCCACGTCATACCTGGGAGTGGCATAGCTGTCATCAGTAAGTACCGATACAAAACAGATTTCACCCAATCAGATAAATAGGCTTTTGTCTCTGTAGCATTAGCTGTTGCAGTATCCAGCTATTTGGCACATTAATGTCAGCTCAATTTGATTTTTTTTGTAACAAATGTCAGTAGACTGGTTTATGCTGATCATCTTTCCCATTAAAAGGTTATTCCACTATTACAAAAGAGACAGATTGTAAGATCTAATAGTGAAATGCATGATGTAGCTGAATTTGTTACATACATTCCATGAATATGAATAATATTTAATTAATGTATTGAATTATGATGGATGACGATTTGCAATTCTGGGCTGATCTGGATGAGCAAAGACACATCCAAGTAAGTTTTATTTAAATAGCCCACTATCACAAATTATAAATCTGCCTCAAGGGGCTTTTCAATCTCTACAGCATATCATACCCAATGTCCTAAGACCATTGAATTGGTTAGGGAAAAGTGCCTTAAAAGGGAAAAAATGAAGGAAACCTCTCCAACTTATGAGGGATCGTTTTCTTTTGACTGCTGAAATGCAATCTAGCTGTTCATCATCTCTCGCTATGCGGACATGCTTGTACTAGATGTTGTGGGTACAGAATGGATCAACAGAGCACTGAGTTCATGTCCAATAAGTTGATGTGGCACATGTCAATGTCATTTGGCCAGACATAAATGCAGATTAGATGTCATAGTGCCCTATAAGATCCATATTGTGCCCTACAGGGATATGCAGCATGAAAAGACAAGCCTTGCATTGGTTAGCCGAGAAAGTACACATATGATTCTGTTTCCTAGTCTTAAAAGGAACCTATGGAGTTGATTAGCGAGCCAACCATGTGTGAAATAATATAAAAACGATAATATTACATGAAGAATAATGGTGTATAGACATGTGGGTTTGATCAATTTAGCGAGCTAATTTCTCATTGTGCCTTTCATGGTGAACAGATTTCAGTTGTACTTGCCAGTCGTGGCTCTGGGGGACTGCTGATGAGGTGATTTTGGGGTTATCGTCAGTGTTTTATGGCATTATATTCCATAGACTGCATTTTATCTGAATTTCAGCAAGTCCGCCCACTGACGATAGTGCCAGGCTCTACTTTACTACCCTCATCTTAGAGGAATGTTGACTAGCCGTTAGGAGATTGGCAGTGTTGTTGCTGTTTGACATCGGTCTGCATTCGCACAGTGGTTCCCAGGAGGTGGAAAGCCAAGACAATCATTCGACAATGACGAATCAATGCAGTTTTCCCGTCAATCTGTGGCGCCAAATCACACAGCTGCTAAAGAATGATGGATATGGGTTACTGGGACAGAGTGTTTGTTAACAAAGACATCTCTTTAGGGGAAGAAAATCTCTAGCCCAGATTCTCACAATAAACTTTCCTGCCCTACATTTCTGTTAAAAAAGCTGTGTAGTTGACAGTCTTGCTTTTCATTACAGTCACCCTTATCTTTCTCACTGGAGTAATAGAAGAAGGGAAGGGAACAGCCTCTCTTGAGTATCATGGTGCCAAGAAAATGTTGGAATTCTATATGTTTTTGCACGTTTTTGCACAAATGAGGACAACGAAATCCATGTAGAACATATTTTGTTATGCCAGTCAGTGCAGGAAACAAGTGGAAGTCATTATAATGCTGTATTTATTTTTGTAGGAGTTTTTGTGGGGATCACGCATAAGTTAATTATAAAGTTCTTCAACTATGTTTGTCTCGGTCCCTTACGGCATAACTGTATGAAAGTATGTGACCTTTGTGGTAAGAGATCATGGCTGCTATTTGTGCAGGTGCTTGGACATTTGTATTCATATCCTGCTTGCACATTGTGAACGGCGTATGTCATGCCACTGCTAAGTACTTCTCAAAGACTTAAGTTCCCTGTAATTTACAACAACCCAGGCTGTGATCTGAGAAAAAGTCTTGTTTGTGGCAACACCAGTGGAAAATGACTCATGGCTTCGAAGAAGGAATGGAATGTTTTGTATATTACGATTACAAATTATTCTAGTTAAATCCTCTATGTGTTCTCGCAACACTGCATTCTCTGTAGTTGACATAGTCGGCGAGGGGATCCAGAAATTCGAGGAGGCAAGGGTCCCTTCCAGGCACCTCGTAATCCAGCACCTCCCACTCTCTGTCTTTTTCTCTGCACCCCACACCCTTTCTTTCTATTTCACACACACACATACAGTACACACACATATACGGTTGATAATCATCATGCTGTTGATAATCATCTCAAGCCACTGAATTGAATGCCAGTTTCGGGAACACCAACAAAGACTGTTATTCAACCTTCAAGGCCCTCCTTTATATACATGTGATCAAATATACAGTCACACGTATTGAACAAATTGCATGTGTGCTTTCGTGGCCCACATAAAATAAGCCTGTCAACACACTCTGCCATGTACATTTGCATGTTAACAGAGACAGAACAGTAATGTATGCCCTAGTCTCAATGCATACAGTGTTCGGCAGCTGATAATAACTGGCAGGTTTCTACCTGGTAGCAGCTCCTTTGGAAAGAATGAGTCCTTGAATGGTCACTGGCTCCATTAGGGGAAAGTACCTATGTTTCCTTCAATCTTTAATGAGTGTTCCAGTAAAAGCTGTCGCTACGTGGAATCATTAGCCATGAAGCAAGGCGAAAGGTAATATTTATATAGTCTGAGTTGGTCTGAATGTGTAAGATTCAGTGCTTACATCACCCACTGCAACGACGTAAGCCAACAGCAATTACATATACTGGATAAAGCAAATAAACAATCAAAGGATAATGGAAATAAATACTTTCAATAACTGCAAAAAGGTGGAATTACTTTTGTAATTTCAAACTGTAATTTGGGGAATATTGTCATATTGATTTTTGTATCTAAAATGTAAAGAGTTTAGCTATTGGGATCAATTTAGTATTAGAAAGGTTGTTGTTAAGTGTGTTGGATTGGAGACATGTTGTCCTTGCTAAACTTTGTGTTATTTATTAATAAGAAATGTTGACAACATGAAGTTAAACCCCTTTTATGCAAATAAGAGAGTTCAACCTCTCAGGCACAGCCACTTAACACTATGGGAAAACAGCTAACACATACAGTACATACAGTAAATGCCTGCTTGCCTTCACTACACAATGAATAAAGCTTTGTCAAAAATATTTCCAAAACATTTGTTCATGTATTCCATATGACAAAAATGGCCTACTGCAATACCGTGGGTGTTTCTCAATCGCGAGTACTCTTGCTTGGTAGCACATGTCTGCCGAGCATCTTGCTTCAGAAGCGAGGCAAGAATACTTCCTGACATTCGGAAAACAAAGAGTGGAACACGCTAGCAAGTGTGCAGGTGTGCGTCATATGATAGGCTCCGCCTTACATCTTCCGCCACACATTTGGGGAAATTGGTCCGTGCGCAAAGCATTGTGGGGATTTTAAGACCGCGGAGTCTACTCATGTGCAGCCTCGATATTTCTCCAAACGGAGTACGCCGGGCTCGGTAGATTTCCAAGTATACTGGAGATTGGAACAGTTCTTCGGCGGCACTCGATGACGTAGTATGCTTGAAATAGTGGCTCTGGAGCAGCTTTACTCGCGATTGAGAAACACCCCGTATGTTGCTTTTTACATTGAATTGTAATTGGGGACTCTTTAAATGCTTGTCAAGCTTTTGTTAACATTGAATCAACATTGATTTAACTCTGTTCATTTGCAGGTTGAACTGTCATTTGTGGTGGTATTATGTTATACTGATAAACACTTCCTCTGAGCCTCATTAAGGTTCATTGCTAAATTAGACTGCTATATATGTAGCTACTGTACTTGTCAAATAAAATTGTACACACAGTAGGACCTTTGCCATCTGAGTTATGCAGACCAGAATGTTGGTTGCTATGCTACTGTATTTGTTGTGGCTGTGACACATGATGTCATGTCTGGAAACCTGACAGCCATGCTTCATGTTCAGCAGTGCTTCACACCCACTGCCATCCATAACTATTCTGCTTGTGTATGCACCACCAACAGCGAGCCAGTTATCCTGTCGTTTATTGAGAGTGCTTTCAATGAGCTATAGAAAAGTAAGTTTGCTAATGTTTCTGGAAAGGTATTTTCAGCCATAGTATTCAGACATTTGCACATCAAGGTTCACTTTTCAGACATGTAAACTCAAGAGATAAATCCCTTTTAATGTATTCTTATTTTGTTGTGACCACATTAAGCAGGCTTGTAAAAAGTGAAAAGCATCCCGGGTCACTTTGAAATTTGGGAGCGGTCCAAGCCATACAGCAGTTAATATTGCAGATGATTTGAAATGGACCGGCTCTTGGACAGAGTCACTTTAGTTCAGTTGAGATGATCAGTGCCCATGTGCACCCAGGCTTCCCTAAGCTGCTCAAGCTGTGCAAACAAACACACACCAAAACCAACACACAAACACACTGGGCGACACACACAGATGTGCACATACGCATGCAAATAGCCACAAGTACAAACACATCTAAATGTGCACACGCTCACACACCTCCGATCTTGCTGAGTGATACAAGCTAATTAACAACATTCATACATCATTAGGGTGTTAATGTCGTGCCTCGGCAATACTTTATTGTTGCCATTAATTAGTGTCCTTTGATACTTTATGATGTGTTCAGTCAAGGTGCAACATTACTTGTTAGCAGAAAAAGGTCAACGGGTCTATACATCCACTGTTTGTCTTAAAAGTCAACACGGATAAGCTAAATGAAGGCAAAATGGCAATGTCATTAATAAACCTAATAAAAACATAATAAGTTCTGCTCAGAGATTGTTTCTAAAGCACACAATGAATAACAGATGACACCAGAATGAACTAAGATTCCTCTTTGACTACATGCACAATCTGTTTTTTCCGACAGGCACTACCACAGTATGGACGAGTTCAGCCACTACGATCTACTGGAGGTCAGTACAGGACGGAAAGTGGCGGAGGGACACAAGGCCAGTTTCTGTCTGGAGGACACCACCTGTGACTTTGGTCACCTGAAGCGCTATGCCTGCACCACTCACACTCAGGTAACACAGCAAAACAATATGTGGAGTTGTGATGTTCACCTTCATTGGGAGGTCACCAGCTCTACTCTTGGTAGACTACTTTTCATCACAAGCTTTAGCAACCCCTAGGCCAGTTTCCATCCACGGCAGTTATTCAATTATAGAGCAGCACAACTCCAAAAAGTGCTTCATTATTTACATTGTCCAGTCATTTTCTAGATTAATCCATTCATCTTTTGGTCTAGAAAATGCTATAAGATTGTTAAAAGAAAATGTCCATCCCAGTTTTCTCGAAGTCCAAATATGTGTTGTCTTATGTTAAGTGTCTTTGAGTCCTTTGAAAATCCATCTATTAAAATAATAGTCAAATTGTTGTTATTTTCTATGATATATGCTTATATATACATTCAAGTGCAAATAATTGTATCTACTGTAAATAAATATAAGATATATTCTTTTGTATTATAACTTTTTGCCCGCATACTCGTCTTGACACAGTTAGAGGAGATCAGTATTCCTCCTGAGCGTCTCCCCTCTGTTTCTTCAGGGTCTGAGCCCGGGCTGCTACGATACATACAACGCTGATATCGACTGCCAGTGGATCGATATCACGGACATCCAGCCTGGAAACTACATACTAAAGGTAGGAGTCAAGTTTGTGGAGAGCACAAGGTCACATTTCATGGAAGACAGTGAGGGTCTGTGCCATCAAAACAAATTGATCTGAGTTATAAAAGATTAATAAAGTTACTGAAGTATTTAGGTTGTTCTATTTCTCTGGGTCCTAGCACTTTATCACACAGGGGTATCTATTCCAAACACCTTCTTTTTCTATCACTATTTAATGTAATGATTATGGTGTGTTGTAATTGGCCTTTTTTCCCTTTTTCTTTCAGCTCACAGTTAATCCCAAGTTTTTGGTGCTGGAATCAGACTTCACCAACAATGTGGTCAGGTGTAATATAAACTACACAGGACGGTTTGTTAGAACATCCAACTGCAAGATAGCACAGTAAGTAACAGAGAATATACACACTATTATCACATAGTTGGTAAGTGTTTGGTAATAATTGACTGGAAGCAATCTTCTCACAATTTGCAACAGCTGGGAAATAGTTTTGCTTTGATAGAACGCCCAAGCGTAACTCAGGGTGTGTGTCGTGTTCCCACCACTGAGTTACACTGAACCGCATTACTTAGGGGGTAACCGCTAAATGCAGTTTTATGAAGTGCCTCACAGTGTTTTGAATTACTGAGTGGACTTAATAGGTTCCTGGCTGAAATATTTGATGATATAATGAATAACTTTCTCATTCTCCAGTTAAGATTCATAGCCTCTGAAACTTTCATATCCTCCCTCAAAGGGAGATGTAGTGCTGTTGAACTTTTGAATAGCGCTATTAAGGAGTGTATCATTGCACTCAGAATTGCTCTCATATCCTCTTGAAAAGACGTTATGTAGAGAGTGGATATATGTGAGGAAAGCGTCATTAGGTTCAAGTGCTGCAGTTGGTCTCCCTTAGCTCCAGCGTTACAGTGAAACACACTTAAAAATATGTTGCCGAAGCATTTTTGGACTTAATGACAGCTGAATATAATAGTTAGGTACTGATGCCAATAAAATAATTACATTAGCAGATGCCATGAGCCATATTTCCATCATTAAAATCTTATATTTGAACTATTCCTCTATCTTAAAATATCACGTTAATGTATGTAATAATGACCGCAGTCTGATAGTAATAGTTTAACAGGCATTTTCTGCCCAATGTGGTATGACATTTGAATTTGAAGGTAGTCATCAAATTAAAAACAAATCACCATTGCATATACATTACATAAATTCATCATTAAATTGTAATTAGAAAACATAAGTCATGTTGATAACATTGATCACCTGCAAGTATTGACTGTGAGAATGTGATTTGCCATAATAGCTGGTCACCATTAAGGAAAGGAAGACTGACTTTTGTCTGCCTCTGCCTGAAATCAATTAGCTATTGCTTTTAGAAATGTATTAAAGAATACAAGTGGTGAATCTGCCGCTGTTGGCCCTGTAAACTGTGCGCTGTGAAAACATAAAGATTGACGATTTTGCAATAGTAAATAATAGCTATTATCTTAGCAAATAATAGCTATTATCTTAGCAAACAATACAATTATTTGCACTTGAATGTATATATAAAGATATATCATAGAAAATAACAACAATTTGACTATTATTTTAATAGATGGATTTTCAAAGGACTCAAAGACACTTAACATAAGACAACAAATATTTGGACTTCGAGAAAACTGGGATGGACATTTTCTTTTAACAATCTTATAGCATTTTCTAGACCAAAAAGATGAATGGATTAATCTAGAAAATGACTGGACAATGTAAATAATTAAGCTACGTTGGTCATTTACAATTGGATTGGTTAGTTACCATAATCAATGTATAAGAGAAAACAAGTTTGTATAGTTTTAAAATTGAAGTATGTAACACCTTTCACTGTTCATTATAAACAATCTATCAAATAACATTCAAATGTTCCTCGTAGTATGGAGTTGAACAAATGTTTTTGTTCATTTACAGGTCTTGATCGGGCGCTGGAGGTCTGCCACTATAGAGGGACCCTGACTTCCATTGAAATGTGAATGGAATCCATGTGTTGTTGGTTCATTGTTGATGTTTGTCTTACTAGTTTGTGCTGTCTCGTTATCCTGAGCCCATGAAAAACCTGGTTCACCTGGCACTGAAAAGCATGTGGTGGTTTAAGGTAGAAATACGCACACACACACATACATACACACATTATTGGATAATGCAAATAGCACGTTGATATCAGACCATAACAGTTTAAATCCCTGCAATCTAAGATTTTGTATTTCCTCTACCAACTTCTTGTTCACACTCTTCCAGTATGGTTTGGTTATAATCGGACACATCATTGACTTTGAGGTGTGTACTGTTTCTACGCACAAACATCGATGCCCATGATGGCAGAGTGTCTCTGTTTGAATTATAAATAAAGCATCAAACAGTGCCAGTGATGAAATGAGTGGTTCCAGACGAGTCAGGGTTCAGCCGCGATCCGACAAATACAATTACGGGACAATGTATTCCTGGGTGCATTCACCCATGCTCTGTGGGGACAGAAAGAGATGCCCACTGACTCAGAAGAACTATAATGTGTTCGTTTTTTTTCTTTTTCTCTTCACTGCCTCAGTGGGTCAGGCTGGGATACTGTGATTCCCTGGGCACATTCTGTTTAATGTTGTGTTAACAGCAAGAGGAAGACAGCAGGTCATATTTGCATTTGTCAACTGCATCAAATTATAAGTCAACATAAAAACAGGCTGTCAGCACAGGCCACTGTTCTCCTCTAAACCCGTGCATACTTGTGTCGTGTCCCCATTCGTTCTTTCTTATTTCAGTAAAACAGGAACAGGAAACTCAACTGGCAAACAGGGTGCTTTCCAGAAACTAGACTTGCAGTATGTACAGTACGCTTTTATATTCACACTGTCTTGGGGTCTCTTCTTCTACTACCAACACTGGTCGGATGGCACATCGGTCATCTTTACCTTTTGAAGAATGTGTATACAAATATTCCACTGATGCATGAATGATGGGGATTCTTTTGTTGTTGTATCCAGTTTGACCTGTTACTGTTATTTGTAAAAGTAAATAAACTTATATATTTTTTCTTGATAATATGAAATATTCAAAAAGCACTACAGCTACATACTCAGTGTTTTAATGCAGAGAAAGCCGTCCCTACCTACCTCTCCAATCGAGTGAGCTCTTTCTTGTTAAGTGTTGAAATGGCTCCTTCCTGTGTTGCAGCACACAATCTGGTGAATATATCAAAGAACACACAATGCAGGATGCAGACAATGACTAAGAGTAATCTTCTAAGAATTCAAGTTAGAATCCTTAAGATTTCAGTCCTGGTTTGTTGTGCGGCTTTAATACTAAATCAAACACACATGCAGCAGCTACTTTGTCGGCAGCAGTGCAGCAGAAGGGGCAACAAGCATATCTGTTTACAGTCGAAACCAAACAAACTCAAGTTTTAATAAAGTCAGTCAATAATTGACCTTTCTCCATGATGCCAGGATCAACGTGATGTGATTTCATATTTCACAAGGGGCTAGAAGTTCTCCTCCAGCAGCAGCGCACAGTATCAGGAGTTCAATCCTGAGTGAGAACATATAGTCACTTTTCATCAACAGCTCACTCTGACTGGGCCTTTTTGTTCTATTATCTCTTACAGTATAGTTTAAATTGATCCTTATCCCAAACTTGCCACCTGCTTTGGAACATTTTGGATACATGTTCATAGTTTTGGCTTCAGTAATATTGCCCTTCCTGGGGCTGGATTACAACAAAAGCCACTCCACGTTTCACCCCTTGTGCACTTCTCTTGTAAACCAGCAGCAGTAGGAATATTTGGTTTGTGTTAATACAGGAATCATATCATTTAAAGAGACTAAACGGATAAAACGTCAAACCATATTGCTGGATTATGCATTGTTTCCTCTTGAGCGTGAAGGCAATTTGAATCCATCACAAGACTGGCGGACCCCGCCACTAACAACAAAAACGACTTTACTGCACAGAGAGGTAATAACTGTATTTAAATACATTGAATGGCTATTGCAGGAAAGATGCTCACCATAAATAGTTTTAAAAAAGCGTTGTTATTTGATCTGCATTTATCGACATGGCAGGGTTAACGATCATACTGTGCTCTCACTGACGGGATGCAACAACATGTGACTGACATTGACATGTGGAACAACAGCACCAGAGTAGGCGACACATATACAGCGTCTTTGACATGTTGTGATGATATTTGTGATTCTGTAATGAACACCTGTCAAAGTTGTCATATACAATAAATACATGTACACATCCGCTGTGCACACTGAATGTAATATGAATGATCTGCATCACACTCACGGCACCGGATCCCTCGTATAAGATTTACACAGAATACATATCAGTAGACTCTCAGGAAATGCTGCGTGACAGGTGTGACAAGTTGCTGAAATCATCGCTTTCAAAAGAGATTAGGTGTTATATGTTTAATTCATTAAGTCATTTTCCTTTGAACTATGTATTTTTGTCATGCATGATTCAAACACGGGTATAGGTTTCGCATTTAAGAATACAAGGGAAAAAAACACTGCATATAAGATTCCTGCAAACACAAAACAATCAATGTGACAAATGGGTGGTGGCACTGGTGCATACAGTATGTGAGTGGCAGGCGATGTTTCCATATGCTGTGTAGACATCCTTCAAAATAACTTGTTAAGATCACACACTGTCCCCACACAGCCAGATATCCTTTCAGTTAGATAACTCTTCAGAAAGTCTCTATTGCTAATTAACATCTGACATTTCATCTGACTTCTTTCGGCCCGCAATTAAAGACCAATCACGTTATGCATGAAAAGTCATTACATGGATCCCAACAGTATGTGAGAGAGGAGCTGATCGTCTTGTCAAAACGAAGTCTTTGTTTTGTGAGGAAAGGAAGGCATTCACTGACTATCTTCTTCATGACTATCACCATATCAGAATAACTGATAGTTGTCAATGTTTTACCGCATTGCCATTTTGAAATGTAGACTAATGAACAGTACTTATGGAGTGATTACAAGCCTCATCGCACTTATGAGTCAAGTCAAGATAATCTATAGTCGTTTTGTAAACAGAAAACTGTTCAAGTGGGAAAATCAATCACAAGCTCTTAAGACAATATGTACTTTAAAAGAAGACATTGCCTTAGATGGAAAAGAACAAAAGGAAATTATCTTTTTCTCTGACAGGATCTTGACTGCTAATTTAAAAGTGTTGAAGTAATACAAAACAACATTGTACCCTTATTTTTTATTTACAAGATTAGGATAAATAGATAGGAAGAATTGAAAAAGATCAAACTGATTTTTTGTGTCTGATCTTTAAAGTCAAAATAAATGAGAAATCCAGATCCAAAAATAGAAATTCAAACATCTTATTATTATAACTTCATCCTGTGAGGAAAATCATGCTCCAACACAGTGACTTAAGGATTTAGGATCTAATTATTGAAAATAAAACTGATCGCTGACAAATTCTTGACAAACCTATGATAAAAAGCTTCAAAAAAGTAACATGTATTTGTTATTGTTGTATCTGATTGCATTCAGTTGCTCAGTGTTGGTAGCAGTATATTTCATTCCAGAAATATGATAGTATGAAAACACAGACATTCCTCGCAAAAGTATTTCCTTCCCCCCCCCAGAAGAATGAGAATCCATTATCTGCTTGTTTTGATACTCTGTTCACTCATATTTAGTCTGTCCTAACCAAACTTCCTCTCGGCTGTTTGTTCAGGCTGTTCGCAGGAAATCACCCCTTTCCAGCTCTCTATGCCACATTATGTTGTTTTGTGAAATTGCTGCAGTACATGCTGCCATTTACTCGACGTTGTCCGTATGTGTTTATGTTACCGTGATGGTGTATATCTTTGCGTGTGTTTGAGAAAAAGACAGATGGGTAACTTTTAGTGAGGAAGCGAGAAGCCAAATGATAAAATTATTGTTTTACTTAGGAGTATTATGTTTCCAAAAAGAACAAACAGTCTTTGTCTGTCCTGTTAAGTTGTTTTTCAAAAGCATGCCTCTGTTTTTTCTCCTGTGTGTTCCCATACAGCAGCTGGTTAAGCAGCTTATATGAAACCATTTTGTTCCTATGTGGGGTATATGCAGTAATGTCCACCAGGAGCCTCTTTTACAGTCCTGGCGTCATGGTCTTGTTATCGGTAATGAAAAGGGCGTACTGCAGCACAATCCCAACAGCAGTGTCTGCAATGGATGTCAAAGCCTTTGAGTTTCTTAAATGATTTAGTACCACTTCTTGCAACAAATGAATATGCAATTGTATTTATCACAGATGTGCTAGAGGGTGTTTCCCAAGTGAATCCAAACAGTGTGCGATTCTAAGTGAGCACAAAATAATACCCCGAGGGCTGTGCAGAACAAAATCCCAAACATACTGTATCGCTGAGATATGGAATAAACATGATGCACAATGCCAGAGATGCCAGTGCATGCATGGGGGTAGGAAAATAGAACAAGAGGAGACTAGGGGGGGTTGTACAATTAGCACCACTACCATAGGTGCATGTAGAAGGAGGAAATGTGTGTAGAAATGGTCAGAAAAGCTTGTCAGATAAAGAGCTGATTGTAAGACGATGACTCTGATCAGCTGACAGGATGTGCAGCGTCATCGCTCTTCCTGATCCAAGGAAAACAAAACTATGGAAAGAATTGGGGTAAAACTTCGGGTACTTTGGCACTTTGGGAATACAAGCAGAATAAAAATATCCCGAAAAGTTCTTAAAAATACATTTTCTGACTGTGTGTGAAGCAACAGGCGAGTTGTAATTCCCCCTGAATGTTGCAGGCCCCTTCTCATTCGGTGTGAGCTCTGCAAACATGCTAGCACATCAAAGGAACATGTAGCGAGATAGTGTAGTGGTATCTCGATAAAAGGGAAAGACTCATACAGACATAAGAGTCAAATCCATTACATATGTAAATACTCCGCTTTGGGCTACCAACTGTTTTGTCTGATCATGGATAAGCAGAAGATCTGTAGGGAGGGCGGTAAAGAACCGCAGGACAGATATTTCCCCTTACAACAAGCCGCGTTTACTTTACCAGCAAACCTATGTAAAGCAACAACCGTTTTGCAGCTGCAAGCTTACAACGTAATTGAGGAAACAGATCAAGTGAAGTGAAGCAGGACTGATTAGATCTTCCAGCATTCTCAGCGGTGAGACATCATTGAATACACAAAACCCCCGCAGGAACAGGAGCCATGGGTGTAGCGCGGAAATGGAAAAGCATGCGGAAACACCTTTTTCTGGCTTTGGAATTGTCAGTCACGATCAAATTAGGGCTGGGTATCGAGTATGGCCTTTGGCTTAAATTCCTGGCATCGATAGCAAAGCAGCATGATAGAGGGCCATTACAGCTGCACTGCCTGCACAGTGATGAGGCTAAAGGAGATCAGACCTTTGGGATCCGGGATGAGGACAGGCAGATTGTGGAGGTTGTTATCTCCGTCATGACAACTTTGAACTGCGATCATCGACTGAGTCTGTGCTGTCCCTCTCCAACATCCATCACATTTATCCAGAGGCACGATCACAGTGTCATCCAAGTCATGCAATTCCAACATGGACGAAGATAGCCTGACAAGGAAAATAAAGAAATAATGCTGCTTACCCTTATCCACCAATCCCTGCCATTATGAATCTGAATGTAACGTATTCAGGGTCGTATTTCCTCCCTTTTCATTTCTTACTGGTGCAGGGTTGTCTACCATTTTTGTCTTTTTGTGGCGAAGCTTTTCCAACAGTGGAAAAACATTTGTATTTCTTCCTGATGATGTTTCCTGATAGGCAAGTGCTATTTGATATAATGTTTAACTTTATTTTTATATAGTTAGCATTGTAAATGACCCAAAAATATGTTCTTTTTTTGTAACGACTTGGCCTTTCCTCATTGGTCGTGGCTGGTCTAAGTGGCACCTTAGGCATGTTGCTTAAATAATTATATACTAAAATATAATTAATTGAATACAATTAAATCAGCTGAATAAATAAAAGACTCTTCTCCCATAACCTCCTCCCGTGACTCCAAAATGACTTTCCTGCTTTCATTTTCTCACCTTGTTTCCCCCCCCCCCCCCTGTGCACTGGCACCATAGTTTAGTTGATCTGACATTTATTTCGCTCATGCAGCACATAATCATAAGTTTGTGGTGACACTCATGACAAGGTGACAACATTCAGCTTCAGTCATTTGCTCACCCTCCCCACCCCTGTCCCATTTTAGCCACAGTGTGTACATTAGTTCATGGCGAGGTCACATCATGAGGGAGTGTTTGTGCTCAAAGGATAATTATTATTTGTCTTTAATCAGACTTTTTTTTGTCCGGGGCGCTTTGCCTCGACAATCTGCATGTAGCATGTGAGAGAGCCTAATTAGGCTTTTACTAAATGCATCTTTATTTAATAGTATGAGCTATCTCTGGGCCAGAATTGTGTATGGTAATTGGCAAGAATTATACATGTCATCTTAAAAACATAAGTCCTTCTGGAGCAGAGGGCTGAACTTGATAACACGCTCTGTGTCCAATGTGGTTACATAGTTTTCTTACGCATTTGTTTTGTGACTTTCCACCTTATTAATAAAAAGACTAACTATTGTCCAAGACTCAAACTGCTCCATCTTCTTTAACCAGGCTTACAATGGGACAGCTAAAAGACATGACTCGAGACCTCCATTCTTCACTGCAGCAGGTTTATGTGAGGATAATTGAATTTAGTAGAAAGAGAGAATAGGGACTAGTCTGTGAGCTGACATTGCCAAAAAGCCCACTTCCAGACTTTAGGTCTAATTTCTGCAGAGCCTATACTGTGTTCAGATTTCTGTGGCAGAGTATCAAGGCCACAGGTAATTCATCTTCTGGCTCTAGTTCTGCTTTGCGACCTAATTAAATGAATAAAGATGTGAAGAATGTTCATTTCCGTAGGGATAAACACATTGCTGCATGGGAAAAGGTACGAGGAAAGGCTTGCTTTGTACAGGAAGAATATGAGGAACCACTGACTGGGAGATACTGAATGGCTGAATAATTTGAATAGCGAGGGGGGAGAAACTGTTCTGATTTACATGCAGCTGCAGTTGCTGGCTCATTTGTTTTGATAATACCTCATCCTGCGTGCACTTTATGTAGAGCTGACTCCACCACATATATCCGAGTTAACAAACATTTCAGTCCCTGTGTTAACACTCCACATGGAAAGCGATGGGCGTTATACGAGACAAAGAAGCAGCTTGTGTCATACGCGCAAGACACACTCGAGTGCGCTGCCTGACAGTTTAAATATCGCCTGCCTCATCAATGAAACATCTGGCTTGTATTTGATGTCGGCTACAAAACGTGAACTTTCTCTTACAACTTAGTTGCCTCACTTTCCCCACTCATCAATTGTAAGGAGTATGCAAATGGTCAATTCCTCCAGCATCCCTAGGAGTCCACACCGTTAAAACAACAGGGCAATACATTCTCATTAAGGCTTTCCTTCCTTGAAAGGCAGAAATTGAAGTTGGGATATTCGTGTTTTTATTCACAGGCAATTGGAACAAATGAGGAGATCTTGTGGAAGGAAGATAGGCTTCCAGTCTTAATCGGGTCCCTGTGAAAAACCCCGCTGCACCCGCCCACGCCTCCACTGGCTCCACGGGGAGTTTCAGTGATGGAGTCAGTCACAGGGAGCGGCGGCCCTGCACCGCTGTGCTCAGCCTCTCTCCCCTCTGACAGGCCCATATTTCACCAGACTCATTCTCCAACCTCCACTGTCACCGTTTCCTGTGCTGTCAGGAGGACGACTCCCATCATCAGATGGGTGATTTCACAGGCTGGTGGCAGCAGCTCTGCCTCGCTGTAGTAGCTGACTAACATGGCCCCGCTCCAGACAGCTGGGTGACCCCTCTTTAGTAGCTGGCTGGATGCTCTCATTCCTCTCATCATGCACATGTAAAGATGATCTAGGGTTGGATTTATTGTTTTGTTGCATGATGCCAAAAGCTTTTGGGGGCTGCTGATTTGTTTGAGTGGGAGTTTGTATCGAGACACATTTCAAAGTCAGCCACAGTAGTGTTGTATTTCCAAAACTGGACAACTCTAGAAATCACTTTTAAAGTACAAGTTAGACATTGTGGGAAATACTCGTATTCCCTTTCCTAATGGAGTGATTTTGGAAGATTGATGCTACTGAAGGAATTATGTTGTCATCTACCATTACCACTTTTCCACCTTTCAACAGTCTGACATATACAACTTTTATAAGACACAGCACATATTTGATGATCATAGTGAAATCCTTTGATGCTAGTTGTTGTTCTGTTACATATTGCAGTGTGATCAGAGGTCTCACAAAGGCAGAGACCCTTGTTTTGCGTCACCAGCTTTGAGGGCCATAACAGAAACCATTTTAGAGGGATGCAAATGAAAGATTTTGCAAACAGTTATCACGATCATTATTTTTTCTCCCATTTAGTTTTTGTCCTATTTCAAGCCAGCACGATCATTAACTGGCTTATTTGCAAAAACCTCAGGCTGCAGATGCACAGAGGCAGAGGTAAATGACTCACTCCCAGACATCGACTGCTGTTTGTTCCTTTAGGTCATTTGAGAAACTCAATCCAAACATTTGTTTCAGATTCCTGTCATGTGCTCATCATTAGTCTTTGTCAACTTTGTCTCCCCCAGACCATAACAGGTAAATGTACTGAATGGCAAAAAGGCCAATGAGTAAGTTGTATTTCCTACATTTCTTGTTGTCTTAACTCTGTTACATTCACTCACAGTAAGTCCTAGTTATTCCTGTTTTATAGGATACATGTTGGGTGGTTAGACCCCACCTCCAAGTGCACATCTGTGTGTCACACAAGCATAAATGCACGCCTGTGTGAGCGCCTGACTCCACATCTGTACACCTTTGTCCAGATGGTAAAGTGTGTGTGTGTGTGTGTGTGTGTTTAACAGCATGAAAGGGCACTCTTTCTCCATCGCTCCTGAGAAATGTAACAAAAATACCCTCTGTGCTCTGTCAACTTTAGGTCACACTGTGCCGTTTATGTGGACCTCACCTCCTCCTTCCTTCCTCTCTGTCCTTGGTTTGACTGATAATGAGATAGAGTTGTGTATCAGAGCATTCTTCTTGGTGCAAATATAGCATTAGGTGGAGTCAGTCTTAATTTACTTTCTTAATTCCCACAAGTAGTTAGTTGCCTTTTGCCCTCTGGTTGTGCCATTGACATTTTCTTATGTGACCAAAACACAATGTCCTTAATTATGCTCATTTTCAGGTTCATGTATTTTGTTTCTCTACTGGGACATGTCTCCATGCTTTAATGTTCAAAAAGGTCTTTATTGTTCTCATACTGCCTGTGCTGCAGCCCCTCTTATCACCCCCTGTCTGAAAACCAGAGCCCAGTTTGCTCTGATTGGTTAGCTGGCCGGCTCTGTTCTGAATGCTCAACTGCTTAGAGATGTCCCGCCCCTTAACCTATCACCTACAATGTGTTGGAGCGCTACCCAATTGAATCGCAAGTGTTACATAGATATGTCACCATGTTATTAGGAGTCCAATGGAGGTGTTTCAGGCAGGGGGGCGGGGTGTGGAAGAAAACTCCCCCTGGCATGAACTTTGGGATTTTAGCCTTTGATGACCATTTACATGCACACAAACATACTACAGGAAAGGGAAAACCTCAAAAAGCATAATAGGGTCCATTTAAATGAAATAGACGAAGTGCCTGTTCATTGGCCAATGGGAGCATTTCTCCGTTCTTCAGAAAGGGAAACACTTGTCAGATTATCGTTTTGTTTTTGTGGCCATTTAATCTACTATAGGTAACGATTTGAAAATGTGAAAAAGCACCGTAGGCTAAATACTGAGAACCAAACAGCAGACGGACAAAGTTAGCTACTAGTTGCATATAGTGGAGAATTAAGAAGTTTGAGAACCATCATTTTCCCTCAGGAGTTAGTGTGTACAAAAAAAGAGCCAAATCGACGGTCTGTTGGTTTGTTTGTGGTAAATATTGATTATTCCTCAGGTGGTTATAAACACAAAACCAAATGAATGCTAATGTCCCTCCGTATCTACTGCATGTATAAATAAGCAGTTATTTGTTCGAGTTCGGCAACTTAAAGGGTGATAATATTTGAGTTGTGTTTACAGCTGGTTTAAATGAATATGTTTGTGCCTATGTAAATGTATGTTTGTCTAAAACGATCAGACATAGAAACACCAATGCAAGAAACCCCCTCATAAATGTTGTAAAACACGAGCCCTTGGGACACAAGTCAGAGTGGGTTGAGACCTTTTGGAGGTTTTATTTGACCCCCCTCGATCCTCACAGGAAACAATCTTGGCTTGTACGGGAAGATTAAATCTGGCTAGATATGCATTTTTTTCTTCCAGCCAGAATGAGATGATAAGATAGACGCAGTTGGATGTTTTTCCATCCATGTTTGACAAGTGAACAGAATTGAATTTCAAAAGGAAAAGCATCTGTACATTCTTGATTTGTTATGAATCAATGACTTTATTCTGTAGCTGACAACCTGTCCTGTTTACCTGAAGGCGCAAAGTCTTTACTGTCACCACTTGTCACAAGAGATTTCCATGTGTGTGGCAATTACAGTGTTTGTTGGTGGCTGCTGCTGGGTCCTCTGGGTATCTGTATCGCTGTATAATTCCATCCTCCTCTCTTCAAAGTAATTCTATCACTCAGGGAGCAGCAGACAGTAGAGCAGAGGACATCCACAGATAAATCCTTTTAAGGTGTATTTTGAATCTATTATATAATGGTCATCTGCTCACAGGATGTCAAGGTAGAAATTGTGTTTGCCCTGGTGTCAGTGTTACAAAACACTTTTTCCATCAGTCATGTATCACTCACCCTATCTCAGGTTTCTTATGCACACGTACAGACTTCATTACGGCACAAAAACAAAGGTCATATAGTGCCCCCGGTGGCCAGTAAGGGAGACTATTAGAAGATCATAGAGAACCAATACTACCACCTGAAGGCAAAGAATGAGTCTCCTTTTTTATAATCTCCCATTTTAACAGTGTTTAAATGGGCTGCAGATTCATTTGCATTGTGTGTAATGTATTGGAAACTATTTAAAAACACATTTTAATGATGGAGTGCAATGTCTTGATTAAATGGGGCAAACAAAATGAAATACTCAAACAAGAGACTCTATGCAAAGCAACTGCAGCAGACAATAATACTAATACAGTGAATGAACCATGTTCAGCGTGTGGACGTTAAACCTAGCAGCCTGTCTCTAGATTTTAGGTAAGGTGTTCAAAACAATAAGATCCTCAAACTCGGCCTAAGAATGAAAAACACAATCTATCTATTTAGAGCAGAATAGATGATAAAAAAAAAACTCACTTATGTTGGCAAAATGTGGAGGGATTATATCTCTTCGCTGGCCTGGGAGCGCCTTGGCATCCCCCAGTCAGAGCTGGTTGATGTGGCCAGGGAAAGGAAAGTTTGGGGCTCTCTGCTGGAACTGCTACCCCCGCGACCCGACCACGGATAAGCGGGAGAAGATGGATGGATGGATTTTGGCAAAATGATTGAATAACACATTTTGGGATATCCATTAACTTAACCTGATGTTAGCTTGTCAAATCACCCTCCCCTAAACAGAAGATACAAGCAATTGTTACTTCATGTTGTTATCTTTTAAAAGATATCACCTTACTATGGTATCATAAATTAAATGGGACTGGTGTTAGGAGTGAGTGTGCGATTATCTGCCATTCATTTAAGACTGTCCTTGAGGTGCCATTGAGCAAGTTTTTCACCCTCTTTTCAAAAAGACAGCCACTTTTAAAAAAAACATACAGCTGTGTCAATTTGAAGCAGAATACATTTAAAACAGCACAAATGAACACAGTTCATGATGTCTGTTGGTATGAGTAGTTGTGATTTCCTTGATTTAAAAAAACAAATGTAGTGTGAGGGTCGAGGAGAGAGTGAGAAAAAAGAGACAGCGTTAAAGAAAATAGGAAATAGAAGGGACCGTCATAAATGCAGACTACGATCCGTGAAGGATGAATGAAGGTAATCTGTACATGTTTTTATTTCATACCAAAACCATCAGCGCCTCTCAGTGGTCAAACAGCCAAAATGCAGGAAAGAAATAACTTTTAAAAAGTACATTCAGTTCAAGCTTGAGCTGAAACAGCCCATTGGTCAGATAGTTAATTGGTTTTCTGCTGAATTTGCATAGAACCATTAACACTGATGTTATTTTTCTGTGATACATATCTGATGTTTTCAGTGTCCACCAATGTCCAACAGGAAGTACATCAGAGAGTCAACTCAAAGGTAAATTGACATTTCTGTTGATATTCACTTCGAGGTGATATCTTGCAACAAAACTGTCTGACTTTGATACAGATACAGTTATTTTTAACACAACAACCAGTGCAAACATTCATTCTATAGAAATATGATGAAACAATGCTGAGGTCACATACATTAGCATTATGTCAATCAGCATTGCTACATGGGATCTTTGGTAAGCCCTTGAATTAAAAAACAAGTCACTTGAAAACATATCATCTTTATCTCTCACATAGTGCACTATAACTAAATAAATACTAAATAAAGATCTTTATCATCACAAAGTTATTGTACATCAAAAATATAATTTTGCTTTCTTTTGTCAAAATGGCTAAAACAACACGTCAACACAAAGAACATCAGCACACAGCTCTCATGGAGCCTCTAAAGTAACAAACATTCAAAACTACTTTCATTCCAACCTCACAACAGAAGAAAACCAATCCGCGTGCCCTTAAACACGGGAAGGTACAAAACAGCTTCACACAGAGAGATTTGTTTTGCAAAATGATGAAATTGCTTGAAATCATCCGTGATGTATCCTTTATGTAAAACTGGATGTCAAAATATGCAATTGTTTTCCATTTAATAACCAAAACTATCGTGGGGAATGACAACATATCCCTAACCCTGTTGTTTAAATGTTGGCATAACTGTCACGTATCTCTTTGACACCTCTACACCTGGTTGACGTTGTACTGTGGGCTCGGGTGCTGCTCCTGCATGCCTCCGGTAGCGGCCCCCACCACCGCCTGCTGCGCCGCCGCCTGGACGTGGGGGTTCTTCCAGGCCCCTGTGGTCCACTCCTCCTGAGCTTTGGACATGCTGCCCCCACCGCCACGGTAGAAGTTATGGATCTGAATGGGGGGTAAGGGTTTCACAAGTTAATATCAACACAGGAGGTTAGTGTTTTTAGTTATTTTAAAGGTCCCCTATTATACTGTTTTTCATCAATATATTATAGGTCTCAGATATATCAAAACATGTCTCTGAAGTGTTTGCCTCCAAACACCAAACAGATCAATGTAGCATCCCATAATCCCCTCTGTTTCAGCCCTGTTTCAAAAGTGCTGATTCTCTGTCTGTTACTTTAGATGAAAATAAGGAGCCCCTCCCCACGCCCCTCTGAGAGATATTTGGTTAAAAAGAACACAATGGTGCTCTAGGAGGAGATTCAGGTGATAAGGTGGGGGGGGGGGGGTTACCTTGGTTGGTGATTGGCTAATGGTTACACAAGACAAAAAATCATGACATCATAAAGTGGCCAAAATCTGATCAGCTGATTTTCAGACAGGTTTTTATATAAATGGATCAGGACAAAAAGTGAGCAAATCTTTTTTCCTGAAACTTTCAGAATCTCTTTACAGAGAGGGGACACATGCTGATGTGTCAGGAAAAGACAGGAAAATGTGGATTTTGCATAATAGGTGACCTTTAAGTTTGTATCTCAGAGTTTTTTTAAATCGTGCAACTGTTTTTCCAGCTCAGTAAATCTCGTAAGGGAAACATTTTTACATACAGCAAATAATATATTGTATTTCAAAATGTGGTTGATAATAACTTGTCATAGTGGGTTTACAAATCAACACAGCTTCATGTGTGGATGGTTAATGGTTTTAGTTACCATGGTTAATGTTTTATCTCAGGGGTTATATAGAGATATGCAATTGTATTAACTACTCGGTAAATATTATTTTAAGAGGAAATGTTTTTAGGTACAGCAAATAATATACTAGAATAGCAAAGTTGGATGATAATAACTTTTGAAAGTGGGTTTTAAAAGTTATTATCAACACAGCTTCATGTGTTGATGGTTAAGGATTTAGTTATTATAGTTTATGTCAGGGGTTATTTAGAGATATGCAACTGTATTAACTCAGTGAAAAGGGGAATGTTGTTTTGGTAAAGAAAATAACAAACAATTGAAAAGTTGGATGATAATGACTTTTGAAAGTGGGTTTTAAAAGTATCAACTTCATGTGAGGAAGATTAGTGGTTTTGGTTAGTTTAGTTAATGTTATTATCTCAGGTTTTTTTTTCTGTATTTCCTACTGGGTCATGTTTTGGTACGGCAAATGATATATTGGAATTCAAAACTGTGGTAATGATAACTTTGAAAGTGGGTTTCAAAATGTATTAATAACACGGCTTCATGTGTGGAAGATTAGCTGTTTCCATTATTTTAGTTTATTACCTCATGTGCATTAGAGTAATGCAACTGTATTTCCTAAAATCTTTTTCCCGCAGTACATTAAGGGAAACATGATTTGGTACAGCAAATGATATATTGGGATTCTGGCATTAAATAATTGTAAACCTTAAAAATGCTGACTGATATTACATATATTACTCAAACTATAGGACAGCAAATGTACTCTTATAAATTGCCGGTCTAAATCTCGCTTTGCAGGAATGCACAATTTGAATCCTTACCCTGGTGAGGGCAATGAAGGACAGTGAGGCGACTGCAGTGAACATGATGGTGGGGACCAACATGACCAGAGCAATCAGAATATTATAGGAGAAGAAGGAGATGGTAGCCAACCAACCGCTGAAAAAGAGAGAGATGACCATTAACAGAATGTCATTACAAATAAATATTTTCTTTATGAATACAACAAGGCATGATTATATGTTATTGGTTTGTCTGGTGTCTCTCATCATGACACCACCGCTGAACATCTGGATGTTAAATGCCACTAATTTGTGTGGACTTTAACTACTGCCATATAAAGTTCCAAAGTGTTATAGCTCATACGAGAGAATACCTAGCTGCACATGGTGACATTTATAAACTTTATGGAGGCTGTCATAATATTAATTTCTGATCATCATGAGTGAGGTGACATTTTGAGGATCCCTTTAACGGCCTCTCAAAATCTGATAACAGGACTCTCGTTAAAGTTATATGAGGGCCATCTCTGATGTTCCATCAGTGTCATCTTAATGAAAGCGGCGAACAAAGTCTTTAAAAGAAAGACTAACTGCTTAAGCTCAGAATGTGTCCTTGAAAAGTAGATTTTCTAATGATATTAAAACAACCTCTCATTCCTTTCGTTCATTAATGCATAACAGTGAATGAATCACAGCTCTGGTGCTTGAGTTGCATTACACAGTTGATTTATTCATTGTAATTACTTATTTGAGAATATATTTGATCTTACTTGCTACATGTTCATTTTTAAAAACGAGACTCAACATACAAAGAAATAATTTGAAAGAAAGATTGATAATGGTAGTCATTTAAACAAAATACATTCTTAAAAATATTCTTATAATGTCTCTTACCATACTCCCCATCCAGGGATGCCAATGCTTTGGATGATGCTGATGCCCACTTGGGCCATGAAAACAAAAAAGAACTGCATGTAGTTGAAGGAGCTCTCAGTCCTAAGAAAGAAACCCAGAATGATCAAGAAATATTTGCACAAGTTTACAAAAATGAATCACTGCTACATCGTATCTCGTGTGATAGTTTGATGACATCCAAGCCCACAGTGTGATAAATGCCACTCAGCACCACAAAGGCCTCCTCCTCCATTATGGAGCAACAGGTTATCTTGTATTTGTATGCGCTGATCGTGTTAAAGTGTTTTCACAGGAAGTCATGATTTATTTATTCTACTCTATAATCATGGTATTCTCCCACATCTGCATTTCTTTCGTGATGACACAGCCATGGAAAGACTTTTGCTGGACTGTGGTCTTCTTGCCCTGCCTTGGCATTCTCACAGTCTGGTTTAATCTTCACCAAAGTGAAAGGTAAGACCCACATTTTGTATCAGGACTTCACTAGACAGAGCATTGTCTGTCCCTGGCTCAGAAGGTAAAGTTATGTTACGCTGCCCTTCAGTGCACGGAGAGAGAAGATGTTCCGGGTGCACTTCTGTCTCTGGAAAATGATTGGATCATTTATTTCTGCTGCCACTCAACACTTTCAGAGAATGATCTTAAAGCTTCCATCCATAATGGACCACTGCACAAGATGATCCTACATTATGCAGCCACAATGACTTTGCAAACATTCAGAGAAACATTTGTTTTATTAGGAAAAATTATTTTCTTACATGGCAAAGATGGAAATATCGGTAGTAGTGCTCTGATCTAACATATGTAATGTTTTAAGCAACCAAAAAAGTGAAGTAGGAGGAAAACCCAAACGCCATATTAAAGGGCTGCAGCAATATTCATAGAAATACTAAGCAGGACACATCTACCATCTACAAAATGTCACTTGGTCTATATTATATTGTCAATGATAAATTAAAACACACAAAAGCCGAATTGTATTTCATGCCTAAATACCTTAATACCTTCTATTGCAATTTAACACAATAGTCCAACATTACTATGGTTTGTGTGTTATTTATTAAGTTAATACTGTGTTGCTTTGTTCTTTAAACAACTGTGCCCGTAAATAACAGCTACACGAAACACACCTGTATAACGAGATACAGCTGAGGCATGGACTAAACTATATTTTTTAATATCAGTACTTCATTTTTGACTTACTTGAAGGCCTTGTAGATGGGCCTGAACCAGCAGACATAGGAGCAGGGGGTGAACATGATGAGCCAGATGATAGCCAGCCCAAAGTTGGTCACGCCACCTCCACCAAACATCCATGCAAAGCAGCCAAGGAGATTCACCGCAAGAGTAAGACTGTTCACTGTGAGACCAAACAGAATGTGTATTAGGTGCAACACAAACACATCTATTGAGTACACGGACATGCACATGCAGGAAAGAGTTTGATGTGAGGATATGAAGGCGGCCTGCATTAACTGTGAAATATGTAATTGCGATGCTTGCCACAAAATGGCTCGTGTTCCCTGAATAGCCTTTTTGCAGGCGCCTTTTTTCTATAAATTCTCAGTAATGTTATGAGACTACAGTACTCCCCGCTTAAGTTGCACTTAAATCTAATTGGAGCTATGTGCTTTGGTCCCATCTTTCTTATCTAAAGTACCAAATAAGGCCAATCGGCTTCAAATGTTGGTTCAAGAGAAAAGAGGGTGCTTAACAAGAGAATGATGAGGCCAAACACAGCTGCAACATGACAGCTATTTAGGAGCTCAGTTCAGTTTCTCAAATTTATAACAGAAAAAATATGGTTGGCTTCAAATCATTTAGACACAAGAAAGACAATGCTCAGAATGAAGAAGGAAAGAAGCTCATGCTGAATAACACTCAAATATGACAAGCAATTGACATGCCATGCTTACAGAGAAAGTGCCTCAGATAGAAAGAGAGTAAAAGCAAATCCAAGTTTGAATACCTGCTTATATTTATCATTTACCAAAAAGGGGTCACCTGTAGAATGAACAGAGTCTAAATGAGATGGATCATACAGATATATTGAAACACACTTGTCTATGTTTGGCTATAATCATTTGCAACCTTCATGGACACCCCAGGTTTATTTTTGTTTTCATTATCTTCATGTTACTCTACTGTATATTGCCTTTCTGCCAGCGACATTGCACCGGTGTAAAAGTTGCAGCAGCTTTAAATTATTTGACTCTCGCTGCACTCTGCCTTCATGGACCAACAGGGAGCTTCCCGACCAGAGCAATATCACAAACATCATTGTACGGCTTGTTTATGGTGTAATAAACTTTGATGAAAGTGCTTCTGGCAAAAATTGTTTAACACAATTTCAATGTTAACTGCTCTGCTCAAACCAAGGCCATCTGGTCAGCGCCATGACTCATTAGCAAATAAACCAGTCAGGATAACACAGCCTTCTGCAATAAAAAAAAAGATATTTGGACCAAAGGGACCCTTGTAAACCATTGCCCTTCTGTAACAAAGTTCTTATCATGAGTTAACCACAGAGGAAAGGACAGTTTATTGCACCTAGTGGATACAAGTGGCTTTTTATATTGGAGAGTCAGGTAGCCTCTGTAGAAAAAAGTTGTTTTAATGTATTATAGTTCAAATGTAAGCTTATTTTGCCTGGGTAATGTATCAGGAAATCCCACACCAGTATTTAAACACTACGACATCACTTTAAGCCACTCACACATCCACAGGTGGTACATTTTCTTGCACAGGCTGCGGTGCTGCTCGGGGATCTCATCAAAGTCCTGGTAGAAGCATGGCTTGAGTGGAATAAACCCCGGCAGTGGGGGGAAGTTGGGCTCTGTCACAAATAATTGCACAATGGTTAGACATAAAGTATTCGCTCAATTATTTCCCAGTAGATCATTGTGTATAATAACTGACCTGCCATGTAGATAACGTGTGGAGTTGTTTAGAGTCACTCTTTCTGTCCTGTCAAAGCCTGTTAAATAGAGAGAAACTGGAGATTAGGATTTAGTTATTTCTGTTTATATCTGCAGACCTTGTATGCCCCATAGAACAAATATTTCATATGCATGTCATAGGTGTTGGACCATTACACTTTTACTAGAAATACATACACCCGTGTTATATGGAAAAAGACAGAGGGTGCTGTTAGCTAAGCGTCGCCATACAGACCGGGGGATTTAATGTGTGAGCCCTCCAGAAAACGTCTCCCTAGTGGTGATACGATTTTAACAACAGAATTCTTCCGGTTTCACTGAAACACACACACACACACCACGGGACACACACACGCTTGTTGCTATCACGCGTAAACGACACTCCTCTGGTTGAAATGAGGCGACAGTATTCGCTGTATATGTTCGTTGTATATTTTGACAGAGAGCTGGCCATCATAGGAAGGAATTACGGATTCCACGGGAAACGTAATCTTCTTACCTCCTCGAGAGAGCAGAGTGTCTCTCCTCAAAGTGCGCAGTCTCCAATAAAAGCTTCAGCTGCGCGGTGAATAGAGCTCTACTGCCAGTCGGACGATATCTGCAAGCAAACTATAACACTAACATAATACTTTCTTCTGCACAGTATGAACGGAGCAATAAATATTATGTGACTCTCGACCAATCACCGTGCGTGAATCGGCTGTCACTTTGATTCAGACCAATAGGCGGATTACTCTAATCCTTGACGTTGTTTGTTTACCCAATCACTGTTTCGCTCTCTGTCCATGGTGCTGAACCCGTCCCACGGTTGGTAGTAAACAATGTGGAGATAAAGTGCAAACTACCAACCCCATTGCACCTCGGTGAAGTTAGTTTAAGGTTGGATATTCCTCATTCATGTTTTTACTCAGTTTCACACCGAACTGTCAGCTAACATCGCTCTTAACGACCGGGTCTCACTTAGGGACCGTCACAAAAAATGACCATTTCATTGACACTAAACCAATACTATTATAAATACATCTTTGCTAATGTGCTCAATCGTAGAAAGATATTCCAATAAAAAAAATAGCAGTTATTGGGTTTTAAAACACTTGTGCTTCCATCACTTGTGACTCTCCAAATCCATGCACCATTGTTTTTACTCCACTGGAAGAGTAGGACACACCAAGTAGGACAAAACAAGTTTCCTATTAATCCAGTGAGTGTAGTCATACAACATTATGCATTGATTTGGAGATATTAGGTCATACAATATGGAAGACATTTACGTTTCTAGTTTTACAATGCTGCATTAGTTTTTAGTCATTAAGTCACATGGCATTAAGGTTGTTTAAAATACATTTTCATTTTCATTCAAGAAACTGATAAATGCAATAAAAATGTTTGTACAAAATAAATACTTTTGGTGTCAAACATCACATCAAATATCATCTATATAATCGATTTAATCAACGAATAGACTAGACGTAAAACGCTTTGCAAAGTTATACCACCCCCAACATGGTACAGGGACGTCATTATTTTAAATACCCAAGCCATCGACCATAACCTGAATATATTACTTGAGTTTGTGCTGACCGAAATACTACATTTTTGGTCTATCAAGTAAGTAAGTAATACATTTTTCTGATTACTATGAACTAGTTGTGCTGTGCCGGTAAAACTAAACTGACCTGTTGTATGAATATAATATTATAAATAAGGATAATTATTAGTATTATTATGAGTAGTAAAAGTAGTAGTTGCAGTAGTAGTAGGCCACTATTATATATTTATATATGGAAAATAAAAATAATTGGCAAAAAGTGTTTATGTTCTACGACCGTGTTGTGAAAATTGTAGCAAGATGATTAGTCATTGATTTTTACTTACCACACAAGTGAGCAGGGGAGGCATTCAGGTGTTGACTAATACTGGAGATTACTCCTTCTTGAATGATGGAATTACTCATAAATGAAGGAATGAATTTGTAAAGCGTGTGTGATTGCTGTCAGTATATACCTGTTGCAGGTTTGCAGAGCCCAATTTTATCCTAGGTATTGTCTGCCAATCACATTTAGTTATCATAACAAATATTGCTTATTTATTAAAATGTACGGCTTTTAATTATAGGCTCAATGTTTGTATACAGATCGTCTAATCAGGGCTGTCACTTCAATTCACCTATACCAGTGATTCAGCAGTGCAATGTATGTGCTAAGTATGATCCTTATCATAATGTGATCAGAGTCTGCAGGAACTGAAGAGTTAGTTTAATGTCTTTCTTAAATCAATCGTTATCACACGTCAAATCAAGGCCACTGGATATGACAAGCTGAAGCTGGCCTTTACCTCAAACTGTCACTTCAGCCAGCCTCTCATCTTTTCTCTCCATTAATATTTATTAGGCAGAGTTTCAGTCTAGACAGGCTAACAACTTATTCTTGACAGCTTATTCTATGCAGGCCACCATGGCATATACAGAAATCTACAGATGAGTTGGCTATAAGTGGTCTCTTGCATCTTTGTTTGTCTTTCTGCACTCGTTCTCTCATTCTGCCTCTCATCTCTACACCAAACAAAGCCGCCATTAACAGCACCATTGAGACGAGCTCCTTTCCTCAACGCCTTGCAATTTCCAGCTGATATTCAGATCTACTTTTTGAGCTAATTAGGACAAGGGCTGCTTCTTTCAGAGAGTAATGGTCCTACTCTGTATTTACAGAGCCCACTGTCTCCCTCCCTCTTCAGCTCACCAACAGTGCTTCAATCTGCATAGATTAGAATGGCAAAATCAGATTTCCCCCATGAGCTTTCCCAAGCCGCTATTGATGCAACACAATGGATCTTTTCTGAGTCCTCTTTGCTGCGTGCTTAGTCACCATCCTGGATGGGATGTAGACAGAAGGCAGGATATTAAGTGTCTGGTGAGACAGTGAGAGAATGAGAGGCATGAGAGGAAGAAATTAAGAAGACAAAGAATAGAAAACAGGAAATGAAGTGTGGGGACGGGCCTGACATGTTAGCATCAACGTTTATTCAACATTACAGCCAGATACAGTATGTTATTTACTCGGGGGGCATTATACTTCCTTGGATCAGTGAAAATTCATGTTCTGTTTACTGTCTTTGCAATTAACCCTAGGGCCTAGAATAATGCATACATCACTAAATATTTCACATATTTTATATTTAAACTGGTTTAAAAGTAGATGTATCTGTTAAAGATATGTGGTTATTATCCAGATTTGACAAAACAAACATTTGGAAAAACATTTTGTCAGTTTAATTTAGAGTTGCTACACCACACACACACGCACACGCACACGCACACGCACACACACACATAGACAGACAGACACATTAGTCTACTTGTTTTGTATTGAATACAAATATTTATCTCAATTATTGGGTGTAAATGCATTTAAAATGAGATAAATAAGAGTCCGTTGTTCAACACTAAATGTCTCTGCTTGATGCTCTCACTGTCGGCCCAGCGCCAGTGCGCCCTACTGCCATTGTCCTCCTGAAGAAAAAACATTTGCCCACTCGCACTCTGAGCCTATGTGCCACCGTTGTCTTGGTTTCTATGGAGACCCTTTCCTGCAGACCAAGCATGTGGGGGGCACCCCTCCAGTGGAAGAAGGTGGAATAACATTGTGGCAAGGCAATCATACACAAACCTCATTTACATATCCAAACATGCACCATGGACCGTAGCATACAGTGTTTGTTCACCAAACATTTCCCAGTACTTGATTTCTCCCAGCTGGAAATCGCACCCACAAAGTGTTATCTACATAAAGGTTTATTTCACTTTTAAATTGTCAGAATAAAGGCAATCTGAAGAAAACGTATTAAAGAAATCTGCATTAAAATACAATTCCCCTCAATTCAAATTCAAATTAACTTTATTAGCATAAAAGCTTTAACAATTTGCTGGCAAAGCTTCAAAATACAAGTGTACACACAAACACTTTTTGTATTTCCCCAATGATGTATATATTCCTTTGTGCACTGGGATTGATCAGCATTCAGGTCACAAGTTGCATGAATGATGTATGCTGGTGCGTGGACCTTCTGTGGTAATTCCTCAACACCTCCAGCAGGGGGCACTGTTCTATCTGTCTGTCAGTCTGTGGTGTTTCCTTGCATTTTGAGGAGACACTTTGGTCAGATTGAGCTGTGTGTCTCTGACCTAGAGGAAGATGAAAGACAGCCACCACAGAGGCTAATGTACTCAGTATTCAAATATACAAGTCTCTCAGAGTCAAGCATGTCACACTCATGGCACAAAGACACAAACCAGAGGGGAAGAGGAAAAGGCGACATATTATTTCTTATTATAGCCAAGATCCCACTGCTTTCATTTCATACCACTTCCTTAAAAAGCTGCACTTGGGATTTGGTCATTACTATAAACATTTTTAAATCACAAGCTATTTGATTACAACTCTCTTACGTTTAATTGAACAGAATAACAGAAAATGATTGTTTTCTCAGTCCTTCTAACACTTGAAATTGGAAGGTTCATGGATTAATAGGCCAAATATTAATAAAAAAGAAACAGAATTTCAGCTAAGCGCCATTCACACATTTCACTGGGCCATAATTAGAGCAGTGACTGACTGCCACACACCCACAATGATTTCTCTATCATCCAGCACTTAACCTCAAAACGGAAGCCCCCCCGCTGTTAGGATGACAGTATTGAAAGTGAGCGTTTTAATCAGTGAGATGTTCCTTTCCAGCTCTATGACATGCTAGGAAATCAAACATAAGGCATAAAGACTATATTTACATGTTTTTCTAATAATTCTGTATCACCCCTTAATAAGTACATAACATGCTTACAAGTTATGGTACATTATATTTATCAATTTTGCCTTTGATCAACATTTTATAATCCTTGCTCCAGAGGCTGGCTAATGGACCTCATAATCAATATAATTATTTTAACATTGTCACTTTGGGTTAAATACACTCGTCTGATCTAATGGCACTTTCATGTATGTTTCACTTAGCACACAGTATGTGCTCTTCAAGAATGGTGGTTATGATCAATAAGTGTGTTATCATCATTAGACAGCTCTCTTAATGTGCTATTGGTGTGAAAGATACCAGAACAGATTTGAACTACAGTTGGTAAAAAAATATAACATACTCTGTGTTTGGAATGACAAAATCAAATCAAAAATAAATAATTGTAGGTCTTTTGAAAAAGCAAGTGAGTTTTTACATGCAGTTCGTATATCAAGCTGGTAATGATTACATTGACAAAACAGCATGCACCCAGCAGAAGCTGAAATCTCCACGCTGATAATGTCAGAATAAGAGCCTCATCTGGAGCAGTGACATCAGGCACAAGCTACAATTTGGGATAGTCACAGGGTGCACCATCTCAAGTAACACCACCGAGTTGATTGCAGATACTTCAGGGACTGGAAAAGCTGATGGAGTGGATCCTGGTGAATTTCAAACCAGCCATGTCAGGAAAGCTGGTGCTGAAGAGAGAACAGGTGAACGACACCTTTTTTGCATTGGAGTTAGCATCCAAACAATCACAGAAAAAGCAGCTGAAGAGCCATGGCAAGGTGTTTGACACAACCGTGAAGGATGCATCAACCCTCCCATCCACCTTCATTGACTTGGAGAGTTGGCTGAGAGCAGAGGACCAGCATGTCGTTGTTCGGCCCAGAATACTGTGACCACTCATTGTGTGCCAGTCGACAGTGCTCTTTTTCTGGAGAGAGAAAAAGGTTCTTACAACAGAAGATAACACTCTATGAGCATAACAATCTGGGAATGCCACTCAGATCTTTGAAAGTTACCTTCAAGGTGACACAAATTAGGGAGGTGTTGCACTACATAGAGTGATTAACTTGACTGTGGCCAAAGCTGTAATCAAAATGAAGACTTGGATGAATGGTGGGATTGGCTTAGCTGTTGAAAGCTGATCCCCAACGCATCAAGTTCCATGTCCAGAAAGGGTCCAACATGCTTCCCAGTTTCTTAATTCTCCACACATGAGGCAAAGCTTAGACACCAGCATGCCTGCTGTGCCTGAAACGTTGAACCCTATAGAGGCTTTCCTGAGTTGCGCCCCCAAGGCCCTAAAAGAGTGGTGAGAGGTGATACTGTTGGTGAAGGTCCTAAAAGTAACTTCAGAAACCATCTGCATCAGCCTGCAGGAATATTGGCCCCTGCAAGAGACCTCAGCTCAAATTCCCTCAGCATATCACAGTCAACACCTTGAAAACAGAAATCATTCTGTGTCCAATCCTCTAGGCAAGTCATCATGCTGTACTTTCAGCAAACAGTCTCCTGGGAGGGTTGCTTGGATGATGGCTTTGATAGAAAGCTGATCAAATTCAATACTGCACTGATTGATTAATAAAGGCAAGGTGGCTAAAGGTGCTTCAAGATTTGAGCTTGATGCAACATGATACAGCAAAGAATAGCCATGTCAAATTGGCCTCAATGGTCTTTACAATCTCTACAGCTACAACACCCTCTGTCCTTAGACCCTCGATTCGACCCGTGAAATCACATTTGTGGCTCAAGAGAGTAGATCTGTGGGGAAATAAGTAGCCATATGGACACAGGCTGAGGTCTGATCAGCCTCAGCTAGGTTGCCAGGAGGAAGTAATGTTGTGTTGAAAGATCTGTAATCCCCATTGGTGGCAGATTGCACATCTTCATTTGATTCAACAATTCTCTTGATAAATCTCATCTCATGCAGACATTTTTTTATTAAGTGTTTTATCTCACTGAAAATACAACACTTACTCAGATGGTCATTTTCTGAAACCGAGTTGCTCAGCTCTTCGCCAACCAATTACAATATCTTTTGACGTATGAAAATCTAATTTGCTTTCAAAGAAAAACAGCAACACCAATCTACTGCTCAATGCCAAGAGAAACTACTAAAACCTCTTGCTGTTTGAAGCCAGACAAGTTTACTATCCTAATTGGTCTCTGTGGGCAGAGCATCAGTTGTGTAAATAATTTTCTCAGCTCTTGGCCTGCTCCATATTTGGCTATCGTGGCTTCCCTTCTTTGTGAAAAGAAAGCAGTGCCTGTTGGAACGAAGTCATGCAATTCATAGAGAGAGCACATTGTTTTTTATCTTGTAGCTACAAACCAGCTTTAAATATGGTAATGAGAGGCTGCTGTTCAATCACAGTGCAACCAATCTTATCACCATAGACCCAGCAATATCTATTGGGGGTAACGAATTGCAGATGGGGTTTCAACTGTTGCTGCAGCATGTTCTGTGGGATTGTGGTTTAGGGGAATCGGGTTACTCATAATTAAGAACATAGCTCGGAGCAGGTCGTACCCTCCACCGGGTCAGCTTCTGGGGTTCTGACGGGACTCAAGTAATTTAACTTCTGTTTTATGGACTGCTGGCACTAGATTACAAACTTAGCTTAACATTGTAGTCATGTCACACACACACACACACACGCACACGCACACACACACACACACACACACACACACACACACACACACACACACACACACACACACACACACACACACACACACACACACACACACACACAGAGATAAAACATGTGATGGATAGAGGCTCACAGCCAAAACTCCATCAAATAGTGTCAACTTTTTATATCCAAACTGAACTAAAGCTATTTCTCGTAGATGGTTTGTGCTTTCAGATCATAGCACTTTTGTCGAGTGATTTGCGAGCAGCTGGTAGTTTGTGTTCATTATTTTATGGGTGCTGGCAAGGGGAAAAAAGGAGAAGCGGGGAAATTACAGCTTGACCACAATCACAGAGGACACAGAAATGCTATTAGTTTTCCAATGCAATCACATAATCCAATGGCCTGGACATTTGCTTTAATCAGACACCTGGGAAATGCATCCATCTCATTTCATTTCATCGGCTCAAATCAATCTCATATCAGCATTAAAAGAAAACGATGAGAAGAGAAATCTGTGTGGACAAGATATTAATACCAAAGGGAACTCCTTCATTACTGACTTTAATGATTGCCTGTCTTTCTTCTCTATGGTGCAGACAATATATAGCTTTTTACTCCTACATGCTATAAACCCAGATTGAAAAACGAAAAAGGAGGCTGTATTTGAAAGCACACAATTTTCACTTGAGTTGAATGCTTCAAAACTACTCTATAATAGACATTCTTTCATTCCAAAGAGGCAATTTATGAGAAGATGTTGCATCAAAAGGTGTACATCGCTCTTTGGAACTTCAAAGAACAATGATGTGTTCATTACCGCGTTACAAGTAGCAGCTTTGATACACACATAGACTGCTGTATAGCCATATCTATTAAAGCTTGTGGGGTTTTTCTCTCATGCTGTATGCTTGTGTGCTGGTGAATGTGGGGATGCTGCTGGTGTCAGTGATGCTGAGAGTGCTGCACGAGGCGAGTCTTTGTCTGCTCTGGGAAGGCTGGGCTCCAGCTGGCTCCCGCTATGTGCAAAAGTCAGTGGGTCCCTCAGCACTCAGTGCAGGAGGCGGGCTGGTTGATTGATTGGGATGCACACCACCACCACCCCCCCCCCCCCCCCACCCCTCATTTCCACCACCACCTCCTCCTCCCTTACCTCCTCCTGCCTGTGCACATGTGCCTTTCATACTCTCCATTTTTACCCAGACCTGCTTTATTACACACAAGCATTCATGCAGTAATGCTTACAATGCAATACCCCATGTTTTTAAAAGGTGCATGCTCACACACTTAGGTACACATTTAGGAAAACAAACAACATCTTTATTACATGATTTAAATGAATGAGTGTAGAGCGTTATTAGAACACGTTTTCACCGGAACATGTGCATCTGGATGTGACCATGTGGGCAACATTGGGTTCATTCAGGGCAACACATTTGCTGTCCTTACAGAGATTACTGTTTTGCCAGACCATTCTCCGCATTTCGCTTTGCTATAGCAGAGATCCCTAACAAATGCATCATTCCAGACACAGAGAGAGGGCGCCTGGGGTAAAATATATTTTGACAGATTTGGTATTGCAAGTGTTTCTACAACCTATTCGCTCTGAATGAATCTCCCAAGTGTTGGTGGGAAGCATGGAGTTGAACAAAAAAAGGAGGAAGAAGGGGTGTGTTAGAATCACCGACAGCTTTTCAGGACTCCAGCGACGACCAGCCACAGCCAGCCAGCCAGTGTCTGGTGAACGTGCGTGTGCGCGTACATGTGTGTGTGGACCAGCAGCTAACACACACTTAACATTCGTTCGCAACATGGCGTTGAAGCGCCGAGAGACACGACGGCTCTCCCCCGACTAATGCAAGCTAATTGTTGTTAAAGCCAGTGGACTGCTCACCAAAGAAACCTAAACATTCACAGAGAGTCCTTTACGCACCGCCGGAGACAAAAGCGGATTCCAACATATGCATGTCGCTATAACGGTATAGCTGGTTGTATAGACGTATTGCTACCCCACTGGAGGAAATCAAAGGCTGTACATGGCGGTGGAGAGTACAATTTGGCTGTTCTGTCTTCTTTCGCTGTTTTGTGGTCCATCCAAGCAAGGTAAAGCGCTCACTTTACTCATCTGCATGTTTTTCAGTGGAGTGCATGTGTGAGGCAGCGGGCCACTCACATTACACTGAAGTGCAGTTACTCAGAACACAAGTGGGCTGTGATCAAAGATAGGGGAGAGCTACTTGGGTGCACCTTGCACGGTATACGAGCAGTATCTCCTCCGTGTTCTGTGGTGCTCACCTCACGTGGCCCCTCCGGTTCGTTCGAGGTAGGGTTGTATTGTTCCACCACGGGTGTCTCTGTCAGGACCGGCCGTGAAGCTTTGGTGTTTGGAAGTTGCAGCCCGAGGAGCGGTGCCACTGAGCGGCCAGGGGGCTTTGAACCGACCGGGGAAGTTTCGGATCAAACATAGGATGGGGCTCATTATGGAGACATGTGGGCTCGGATTTGGTGTTTAATGAGTGTGGAGCCCCCTGGAAGGAGCTCTGTCTTAAATGTGCCGATTGCTTTGTCAGTAAAAAAACAAAACAACTTAAGTTTTCTTTCTTTTTCTCACGGTTTAATAACCGAATGTGCGCATGGGACGACTGGTTTTCAGCCACTGGCTCAGCAAGTTCAGTGAGAGGATTTTGAAAGCGTAGGCCAATAGCATCAAAAGGACTTCGTTATCTATGCTTTTGATACACTTGAAGTAGAATGCGAGCTGATGTTTGGTTTCCCAGACATTGCGGCGGTGGCTCCCGAGAGTGGAAGCGTGCTGGTTGGAGAGGAAAGTCTGCCTACACAGGCGGCGACGAGTGGGTGAAAGACCGACTGCAGGATTTACATGACAAAGACCAGTGCAGAGTATCAGTGGAGGCTATACAGCTGACAGCTTTTCAGGGTCAGGAAAAGAAGATATAAAGTGAACCTGCCATGCGTTCCTTTTTAGGTAAAACTGTTTACCATCAAGGATAGACACACAGATGTTTGGTACATCTTTCATGACTGTATGCTATTAGGCCACTAAAACAAGAATGAACAACATAGTCTAATTGATATTTCACCCACATTATCTAGCTGAATAACGTTTGAATGACTAAGCATGTTAAGAGGTTTGTGTTTATCTGTCAAGTGCCTGAGGACCAGACAAGTGGGACTGTGAGTTTGTGTGTGAAGAGAGGGAGACAGAAAGAGAGAGAGATGGCATTAAAGAAGAAATTACAAAACTGTGATGTGAACCTTTTTTTTTTACCTCAATCTCCAACATGTGGCATTCATATTCATGCTGGGCAAATAGGATTACACGACTCTGGAACATAAATCTAACTTATATATTTGTCTCAAAACATATACAATGCAAGTCCCCTTAACACATTTTAGGGAAAGGCAGAAATTGCTGCTTTTATTTCTCATGTATTAAAGTGATTGTTTTAATTTAGCACTGATTGTGTTATGAAATCATGAATTAAATGAGGCCACTTTAGTTTCTGACATTGTATGACCCACATTAATTAAGATAAGCAGATAATTCAATGAAGACATCAGTGTTAGTTTCAGGCCTATTTAAATTGCCATCCAATTATTGTGGAGCCCCAAAGAAAGTTAGTCGATTTAGATTTTACTTAAAATGTGAACATGTCCTGATGTGAGAAGAATCTCACCATTACTTAGTTCTGATGTATACAATCTCTTTATGTATATTATTGCTGACATCTTGAAATGGTTGATAGGTTTTGCCCACACGAATACCGCACAAGCTATTACTTTCCTTTAGTCTTATCTCACATCAACACTTGTCCAATTTTAGTACATCTCCTGGCAAAAATGTCTGCTTAAAGATTTACACTGTCTTATCGCAATGTTGTTTATGTGTGTTGTCTCGGATTTTATTACAAATAGATGAGAGAATGTTGCTTACTGTCGCCTTTTGTCTCACCCATTTTCCACTGGTGTTGTGTATACTGTATAGCTGCATTATTAAAGTGTTTTCATTGAGTGTTTTATCCTTCTCTGGGGTCTGGAGGTTGCTTGCACATAGTTTTGCTGCTGCTGCAACTCTATTATGACATGCTGTAATTCAACACAGTGATGAGAGGGTGTTGTTGAAAAGCCAAATGTTTTGGAATGAATACTTCCAAACTCGAAAGTACTTCAACACATCTATGTAGAAATCATCTCCCTCTGAGCTATACTGTAATTGTATCACAAGTCCCATCATTCATTTTTTCAATTATGCATATAAAGACCTTAAAAGGGAGGCAACTAGAAGTATGCCTCCTTGACTTCCATCTGATATAATGGTAGAAGGTCATAGGATACAATTTATATAGAGTTAGATTACCATGCCCCGCAGACTCCTGCACAGTCAGAGTAAGGAATGACTCCCCTTGAGATCCTCCTGACAGGAGAGTGAGTGCCACACTGGGGGCGATCACATCTAGATGATGAAATCTCTTGCAGGTAAATGGCGATTGTGATGGAGGTTGTCTGTGATAAGAGTGAAGTGGAAATTGATTTATTTGCACTGTGAGATTTATCATTGGAAGTTGGTACCAAACAACTTTGACGTTTGGTTGCTGTCTAAAAAAATCTATGAAATACAGAGGTCTTGGAGATGTTATTTACACATCACATTTTGAATTCGACAAAAATAAACATTTGTTTTAATATTAAGGTCATCTAAACTACTTTGCTTCAGAGAAGAAGAAACCACCTTTGAATCTCTCTGCAAACACTGACAGCAGCATCATGAATGCATTATTACAAAATGATTATTTTGCATTACTATTATTCCCTTAGCAGTGTTTCCCCTAGGATGGAGTCACAGCAGCGGTGCTAAGGCACGCGGGCCCAGCTAAATGTGAGCGCGGAGCGCGTGGAATGTTTTTGTGTGTGCACGTGCGAAGTGCGCCCGCCAATATGTTTCTATGTGTCTGCCAGCACAAGAAAGGCTCTTGAGGCTCTACAGGTGTGTTTTGCTTAATCACCTTTATTGAACATACAGTAACACAAATATAACAATCAAAATAAAATGTATGCAATTTAATTATTTTAACCTGCTTTACTTGGGGGTGGACCTCACATCCTCTAGGGGGGTCCGGGGCATGCACCCCCGGGAAGATTTTTTTTTAAATGTTGAAGTTAAATGCATCAATCTGGTGCACTTTGAGCACAAGATGAATTATAGATACAGCTCTCAACACTCGTATGAAAGGGAGCTGTATACTTTTCAATAATCCCAAAATCTTTAGAATATGATCACAACCAATAACAAATCATTTAAACTTGTTTATTCTTATCTTATGTTACCTAGTTAGTATTCTTTCTTTTTCTTAATGCATATTTTACTAATCACTCTCCTTTTAAACTGTTTTTTTGTTACTGTCCTATAGTACACATTGGAATGATTTCTTACTTTATTTTTTACAACTATATTAAATAGTTAAAGGTGTGCTCTCTCTCTCGCTCTCTCTCTGTCTCGCTCGCTCACAGAGACTGTGTGGCCACGGATTATTATTTTAATGTATTAAAAAATTATTATTATTATTATTATTTTTTGGTACCTGGCTGGTGCCCCGTAGCAGCGGCGCGCATACATTCAGCAGCGGCGCGCATACATTCAGCAGCGGCGCGCATACATTCAGCAGCGGCGCGCATACATTCAGCAGCGGCGCGCATACATTCAGCAGCGACGCGCATACATTCAGCAGCGGCGCTTTCTCTCTGTGTTTATTTAGCTGGGTTTAGAAAGTGGAGCATGAATGTTTTGTGTGTCGGTGGTTGTGGGAACTGAGGCTGATGGCGCGGGGGGGGGGGGGGGGCTGTGGGTGATTCTGGGACAGGGATGAATAAGCGGGCGCTGGTGGGGCAAATTTGAGGGCAAGGGCCATTGCTACATCCACAAACAAAGAGCTTGTTTTATCCATTCTAGAGATCAAATGAAATTATGTCAACTTCACTTAACATATCACAAGCAAATTAATGAAACAAAGGTGCCAGCGTGTCTGTGTGTTCACAGTCCATGCAGTTATTAATGGACACAATAAAAGATCACATCTGCACTCCTGCAAGACTTTATGACCAAATAAATCGGATTATTATAACGCCTTTGGCCTCTTTATATGCGCATGCAAATTGTAAACACAGCATGATGAAGCATTGGTACTCCGCTGACTGAGAATGTCATGAGATAATTTACCATTGATGCTCTGCATGAGTATTTACTGTTTGTATTAACAGTCACACAGCTCGCATGAAATCGCAGTCCTCTTATGATTTGATTTGTCCCAGCAGGTGTTGATTGACCTCGCATGCTTTCCTGCACTGTCCACAGTTACACAGTTCGGAGATGCAGTGCAGTAGCAGTCTTGTGTAATTCTACTGAAGCAGCCTAGTGTGATAGGCCTTGATTAGGGGGAAAGTACTTCCTATTAATTGAATTCCCTTTACCAAGTGCCATTTCGTTAAACTGCCTATTCTGCATGTCTTTGGAAGGAAACCTGTGAGCCTGCAGGAAAGTAAAAGAGGGACTTTTCAAACTCCACAAAGAAAGAAACCCTTCTGACCTTTTGCAAATGAATTCTCACCTATAGCAGGTGGTATCATATATTAAAAACCTTTAACCAAGAAAAAGAAGGTCAGCCATATATTTCATGTAATGTCTTCCTATGTGTGAGTGGTGTTTCAAAACTGGTCCATAGGTCCATTCTGAATGGTGCAAATATATTTGTATACCCTCTATCCGTTTCACAGAGAAACCATTTAACTGCCTCGTTATGAACATGTAACGGTGTAAAAAACACAAGGCTGAATGAGTTTGGTCTAATTGCTGTTGCAACTCCTTTAATGTCTTTTCTAAGCCCCAATGGCATATTCTTCTTGCTGTGCATTACGTTTTATTGGGTTTGAACACCAAATTAAATCAGGTTTAGTTTAATTGTCATGTTGTGAAATTAAATTGAAGCAAATTGAAGAGCCTGTAAGAATTGTGATTTAATGAGGTTGACCCTAAGGGGTAGGAAAGCAAGGAACCACTGGTTTGAAGTTTATTCAAATGAATGTGTCTC